CATCAGGTAAAGCTTAGGTAGAAAGGTCCTAAAACTTACTCCTTCGTAGCGACATAAAAGCCGAATGCAACAAGAAAACATGCAGCCTTCAGCACGAAAGCTGCAGACCAGAGTCTTGCGGCTGTATGTCGCATTCTGGTTGATCGCCATGCAGATGTGTGGCTACTATACCTCTTCTCCGCGGAAATATCGTCAACTACTGCACGGAGTTTTCTACATTTATGTAACCGCACAGTTTGTTTTAAATTCCTTTGGCAGCTTTACCCTGCGTCCAGTGAACACATCGAAAATATCGAAGTTTTTGTTGAGTGAAATTCCTTTAGCTTTGGTGCCCTTTGCCAGGGCATTTGCAGCGTTCACGCTGCTGCATAAAAGAAGGGATCTCAAAAGTCTCCTGACAAATTTTATCGGCGCCTTCGATGTCTACTTCACACGAACTGATATTGCGTTCGTTGTGTTCTCAGGCTGCTGCCTATGTGTTGTTCCATTATTTTACATTGGATTCGGCGTGAACGCAATCTTCATTGTCGCCAATTTGAACGGAACTTCAGAGATATATCATAATAAGTTTGGGCTGCAAAACGATATTGCGACAGTGCTCGCAGTTAGTGTTGTGGCGCTCCAGGCTGTTTGTTACGCGGGAGAGAAATTTTCCCAGTCGTTTTTGGTTGTCTGGCCACTGGTGCTGGGCGTAGCGTGTCGCTCTATGAACACCTGTGTAAAACAGCGAACCACTATGGCAGCTGTGCATCGGTATCTTAACGACCACGCAAGTCTGGTTTCGTGTGTGCACGAACTAAACCACTGCTTTTCATGGACGGGGGCCATATTCGCTTTGGAAGACATGTTTCACTTCGTTATAATTGTGCATGATCTTGCTGCGGGTGCCGTTGCCGGCACAACGTACGATCAAGGCATCATGGTTTTCCAGGTGCTGCTCATGGGAATCATGGTGAACGCGCAATTGTGCTTGGCTGTGTTCTTATTCGAGAAGGTATATGATACGTCTTAACTAAGATTGGAGTTTCTTTACATCATAGTCGTGTTTTCGTTAACCCTAAAATTAATTATCAGTTCAAGGCGAAACATAATTCATTTGTGTACGTACAAATTGTGTCAAACAGATTGCATAACGTGTTACTTATACGCAAAATACGAGTATTAGTCCTTTCTTCTTGTGCTTCGTAAGCCCATATTTGTTTTTGATTGCTAACAGTTTGACATTTTACGATTTACGTTTTTTTACGGAGCATTTCTTGCAGAACGAAGAATTTATGCAGTCATTACGCACCATTGTAATTAACGAAGACTTGCCAAATAAAATCTGCAGCAACGTAAACGTTCACGTTAAGCGTTATAGCGCAACGCAAACTGGAGTGATGTTTGGAGGTATCATCATTACTCGGAATAGCTTCATCGGAGTAAGTATCGAAAATGTGATCAGAAGTGATAATCATTACTGGATGACCTGCCTACAGCGTATATCAAGAACCAAACATACAACTAAACACCAAAATTTTCTCATAAGTATTTCTTATAAAATTTCTCGTAAATCATACATATTGATATATATTGTACATAGTATCATACAGCAGTATTACAGTGCGGTCTCTAACTCTACCATTCACTTTAACAGATTGCCTGTACCGTTTTTGGGTACATCTTGCTCACTGCACAAATGCACGATAAAGATGGCGAGCTATCTCGGACGATTGTTGCTCCTGAACTCATCCGTACGATGCTATCGTCTCTGTGCAACCGCAGTATCTGTAGCAATGTCATGTCTAATCCGAGCGTGGTTTAGATTTCCTTTAACCGACGTATTTGTTCCTGATCAGTTTTGGGTGGGTGTTGTGCGTCACTGTACATACACCAATTAAAATAAGAACCTCATCTGTATACTTATGGTTAGTGTAACCTTTGCAATTGCCGGCATACGTGTGCCGGGGTGCGAAGCGATACATAGCAAGTACGGAACCTTGTATGCACAAGTTGTTCGCAACATTGGATGGGTGTGTCCTGGGTAAATCAGTTGATTGTTAAGAGGATTGTGCTCTGCAACGCTGATTGTCTTCTCATAAACTATAAAGTGCTTCTAAACGTTACCCTTATATTAATTCATTTCCATCAATACGATTTTCTCCTCCCGTCTGACATATCTGTAATTTCATTTCCAAGAAAATAAGATTGACGCATTAGTGCTAAAGTTTCGCTACGAGCACGGATGCCTGCCGAACTTACTCGCGCCCATCTTTGCGCTGTCCCGCCTAATCGAATTTGTTCTCCCGTCTCCCTGCGTTTTATGCGCATAAAAGTTCTGAAGGTGTACGAGTATAGACGAGTACGAGTATAGACTGTAGTTCCCAAAACACAGGGACGCACGAAACTGAAACAACTTTTTAAATGTTAATGCAGATTGAAACTGGTTAACGTCACAATTAAATAAGATATCAAATCTAGAAGACACGGAAATGTTACAGTGTAGTTTTCGACGCTCCCGTTTTCGGCTTCTCTTTTTATTTACTATTTCACTTTGACAAGCAGCTGAATTCACCTTTAGCTTTAAATGATTGGCATTGATCAGGATATGCATACGGCTTAACGGGACTCGGTTGGTGCATGTTGCTGAATTTGTTTATGACTGTTATACTCACTGGTCAGCTGTTCACAAATGCACATACATACGTAGCTTACACACGTTATTTTGCAACTTCACTCTGTGTCTAAATTTATGTACAAGTACAGTAATCTGCAGTCTCATCTAATGCTGCAGTCGACTGTCCGAATTTAACCGCTGGTTTTTTCTGTTCATCACTTGTACAAAAAACAAGCCCAGCATTCCACCGGACTAAAGAAATAACTGTTGTGCATTTCGCAGTGCCACCAGTGTTTTATATTGTTTTCTCGCTTTTACAAGTAGACATGGAAGGGAAAATGGGCGGCAGTAAAACCTGGTTTGTGCAGCTACAGAATACCTTTTGGCTGACAGTTATGCAGCTATGTGGATACTGCGGCTTTTCACCACAAACCCACCGCAAGGTGTTTTGCATCCTAAACGGTATTTATGTCATGGCACAGTTATTGTCTGGTATTTTTGCTTCGAACGTCCCTGCTTTGCTACATCCCGTTGAGGGTGTTTCCAAAGTGTCAAGGATTCTTTTAACAGTTGCTCCCGAATTTTTGTTGCCTTTTGCAAGAGGTTTTAGCGCTGTTACCCTCTTACTAAAAAATAAAGATTTAGATGGGTTGATGAAGGGTTTTATACATCGGTTCGACCAATACATAACGCGAAGCAGCGCTGCTCTGATAGCCGTTTTTGGATGCTCTCTTTCCATCAGTCCCGCGTTTTACGCAGCAACAGGCGTTGACTTTGTGACGGCTTCGTGTGGCAACAAATCATCGATACTTTTTCAGTATTGCCGGAATGTTGCGATTGACGAACCAGTTGCCGGGGTGGTTATCGGAGCCACGACATCGCTTCTCGTGATTAGTTATACAGGAATGAAGAGTGTGCAATGTTTTTTGGTGGTTTGGACGCTGATGTTCGGTCTGGTATGCCGTTCATTAAACGGTTCAGTGACTAGAAAAAATACCGCTGTCAACCTTCTCTCACATCTAAAGGCTCACGCTGACCTTGTGAACCTTATCCAACAAATGAACGATTGCTTCTCTTGGATTACAGCAATTGTATTCGTAGAGGATGCCTTCTATCTGATTAGCGTTATACAAAGCGTCCTCGAAGCGGCTGTTACGGGGACCTTGTTGAACAAGTTTGAATTTGGGCATTTGGCAATTAGCGCGCTGATGATGAGCGCTCAGTTGGGATCGTCAGTGTATCTGTTCGAGAAGGTAAACGTTTACTCACTTAACTAAAGGTAAATTAAAGGTAACTTAGGTAATTAAAGGTAAATTTTTACCCACTTCATATACTTACTGGTTAGTGAAGATAATGCAAAGGACAGTCGGAGACACTGAACTGCATGTTTTTTGTAGAATACAGAAATTATGCAATCATTGCGCAAAATGGTCATCAATGGAGAGGTCCCAGATGACATCGTCGCAAGTCAAATAACCAACCACTTAAAGCGCTATAAAGGAGCCCAAATCGGTTGCGTACTTGGCGGAGTGACGTTAAATCGAGACGGCGTTGTGGGAGTAAGTACATACGAGTAACTATGGAACGCCGAGAAGAGGCGTGTTGGGATGTACTCGTAAAATACCGCCTTTGTAGATTGCTTGCACAATGTTCGGGTATCTCCTCTTGGCGGCGCAAATAAACGACAAAGACAACATGGCCAACAGCGACAATGTTATTTCCCAAAACTTAACGCACGTGGCAGTAGCCATTTTGTGCAACACCACATCTGGGAATGAACCCATCGGTGATACTTTTAAGATTTTCATGGACTAACACTTGGTCTTATTTCGTGTTTCGATTGACAACACTCGCTGTGCACTCCAATAAAGAGCTTACAGTTGTTAAAAAATTAATACGGAATGCTTGTGTCTTCTTAACCATCCAAAGCAGCAACAGTCTGTGAAGCGGCAGCTGGGTCTTGATTCCGTAGTATTAATTAATTTCTGTACGGCGCTGGAATTTGCAAACCACCGAAATAAATAATAGTTTATGATGAGTACAGTGCAGCATTTAATGTGCTTACCGAAAAATTTATCACCACTTCATAAAAATGAGATGTAGGAAAAAATAAATTTATTGCAACGTGTCTCGCTTAAGGATACTCCTTGAATATGTACTCGCACTGGAGCACATAACAATCGACTTAAGTCACGACGCATATTCCTTTCACCATTGTCCGCATTGTCAAGCAAGTTTTCTTATCTCCACAGCGCTAGTAAGTATCAACAGCTGGAATAATCCACAAATTTGTGAAGTCCGTAAAGTCGTTATCGACTGGCTATCACCGCAGCGCAGCGATAACGCAGCGGCACTTGTACTCTTGTAGGAAAGGCCTGCTCATTGACGATATCATTTGCTGCGATGTCACAACCATTTGAGTTTTTGAATGCTTACCGTATACTGGCCGCGCATTTCTGTTGATCACTGATCGCTTTCGCTAGCCGCCATGGACCCAGTCAATCTGGCGTTCAAAGTACTGAAATCCGTGGCGCGTAGCGGCAGTAAATACGCCATCGTCTCCGCCAATTCGTTGTTGAACAAAATCGACCCGGACACTCAGCAAGCCCGTTCGGCATTACTCGCCCACTGCAGCCCTTTGGATATTAAGGAGAAACTATTAGAAATCCATCAGTTTCTGGAGACAACCACCGCTGATCTTAAAGAGTCGTTGACCGCGGAAATTGCACAGCTGCAACTCACCGTCCAACACCGCGACGTCGACAGCAGCTTGAGCAAAATCAATTATTATCTGACATTATTATTAAAGTCGGATGCGACATCTCGGGATTATGATAAGAAAGAGTTCCTCCGCGCGTGTAAAAATTACGATCCCAAGGGTTTGCTCGCCGCGTTGCACGAAGATGTTACGGGAGCGTTTTTAACCAGGATTATCGACAACTGTACATATCAATTTTTGTTACAGTGGTGCGATAAGATCTCGTTGAATGCATTGCGCGCGTATCTGTGTTCGATGCACCGGCTGTATGTTATGATGGAAGATGACCAGTCGTTAGTGACATCGACGACACTGAACCGCGAAGATGTGGCCATGACCGGCCAAGTGAAAAGTATCCTTAAAGCGGTGAAATTGGCTAAGTTTCATTATGAAACGCGCATCTTTGCGGTGTCAGAAAAAGGTCCCTCCGATTTGGTGGCGCTAATTGATGAGTTTTTTGTTAATTCCGACAACGAGTCAAAAACCGCCCAGGCCAACCAGGATTTGGCGGTGAAACTAGGCGAAAAGCTGAATAAACAGTTCTCATGGTATTCCTGGGCGGTGGTCATTGCGGAAGACAATCCTAAAGAACTGAACTTTCTCTCGTACTCGGCGGACTTTGAGGATGATCTTTTCAGCCAGGAATCTACGCACCAGCAGTTTCTGCCGTTCTTTGGATCAAAATCAGCCACCGCACCGATGCATGAGAATATTGTCAGCGGTAAACAGTATGGCTTTATCACGTGTAAGCGGAAATTTCATGCCGGTGCAAAACTGGCGCATCAGCGCCGATTGACAGTTTTCTGGGCAAACCCGCAACAGTTGCTAGAGACTGTGCCGGAGGATGCGTTAAAAGATGCCTTGAAAGGCGTAGACATCGCTGAGCTTACAGAAGAGTTTAAAGCAGCGCATATTAAACACTCTGCTACCCAAACACCACGGATGTCTGTTTGACGCTTTGGCGGGCGAGAGTGCGAGACGATTGTCTGCGTATTCGCTACCGCTCCTGTCCGCCGCCGAGGTTCTAGTTGACAAACAAGCGGGAAGATGTATGTAAGCGCGTTGTGAAAAGAAATCCCAAAAATACCGTGCTTGCCTAGAACAGCTAGAAGCAGTTTGCTAGTTAGAGCGATGTACCTATTACAAATAATTTACAGACGCAGTTACAGACGCAAACTATAAAACTGTCTAGAAGTCCTCCATGGCTATTTATTGTATATTATAATCAAGATTATTCTGCACTTGCGTACCGGTATCTCAGTATCTGTAAGCTAGTCCACCGAGCAGAAATCAATCAGGCTCAAAGAAAGCGTGGGCGAATGAAAAACTAATCGACTGCACGTCCTGCTTTAGGCAGCCTCAACATGCTCCATCCCAGAAAGTACTTTTCAATTGTCACCGTCTCGTCCACTGTAGGATCAACAATACTGACGAAGGAATGTCAGAACCGAATGCTGTCCAAGTACGTGGTTGTCTTCTAGGGGCCTTGGTTGGAGATTGCCTGGGACGGTTGTTTGAGGGCGATCCACCGCCGGTGAAAGTATCGGAGATCGTAGCAACAATTGCCGAACAAAATAATAAACCGTAAAAGCACACATCATAAATATGTATTCTGCCGGATGTCACATTTTGCAGCGATACACGGCAAAAACAGCTGAAAAGTTCATGGTTATGTGTAGATATAAGAGAAACTGAGTACCGGTAATGTGCAAATATATTCGGACTTTCGTTTACTTTAATTGCTAGGGTACTTTCACTTTAATCACTTTCACGTTAATTATATACTTTTCTTTCGTATTGGGAGAGTGTTTTAGAATTGCCATTGCCGTACACGGATGATACGGCCATCATCGGGCCATGTGTCACACGCTGGCCGAATCGTTGATTCGTTGCGGACGTTTCGACGCTCGCGATCTGGCCAAATCGTAAGCGTATTTTTTCCTTTCGCCGCTTCAACGTTGGGATTTATGTCGCGTTTCGGCAGTTTCAATGACAGGTATGAAGCACAGTGGACCAAGAAGCGCCTGTACGCGAGCAGCGTAAAGCACATCTTTTCCATCTGGGAGGACAATGACTTTGGAGGCGATATTTTTGAACCTGCGCGACAGCAGTTTAATGGTCGGGGATCGTTCGGGAACGGTGGGGAATGCGGGTCGCCAGTATCCCACTATTTTGTGGGAACCGTCTGGAAGAGACGTTAGAGGTTCGCATTCTGATTACTGTACTGGAAGGCAATGTGATGCAATTCTTAAATTCATGGATGCAGCGATATACGGTACACAGTATCATCATATTGAATCATACAAACTTGTTTGCCTTTGAACACTGCGTTTTATGGATGACTGCATTACTCTGCCGACATTTAGCGTAGTGAGTCAAATACTGTTTCAGGAAAAACCATATACCGGTATTTCTAATCAACGCATGCGACGTGAATGTTTTATAGTGTTTGACCTTTAGTGTCAGTAGTTTTTGGCTATTTCAGATTGCCCGCCTGAGCAAGCAGTTGACTCACAACCATCCACTTGGCTACAACCGAGCCATTCTACAGGCGTTGGCTGTTCACCTGGCCCTGCATTCCGACACTCCAGATGGTGAATCTTTGTTGGATGCTCTCATCAAATTTGCTAGTGACCGTTTAGATTTTGTGCTGTTCGCCATAAACAGCCACGTGTTTAGCATCAGAAAGTTAAGAATTTTTTTCTACACCTTTTGATTTGCAATTAGTATAGTTGCACTTCGATATTCACGGAGCGCGAGCGTCTGAAAGTAGCATGCAAAGAAAGTGAGAAAGCGTCCAAGTTTTACTGGTGGCGTGTCGTTGCGGGGTTACTTTTGAACCGCGGACCGACTGATCGGTTCAACCTCTTTTTGTCGTCCTTTGTATGTTTCTGCTACCTACAGTTCATGTGCTCGACGCTTTATTCGGCTTTAACATCGCGATGGAGAAAATATTTGGCTGTTGCACTACGAAATTGCGCTCTATATTCGGTAATCCATGATGCTTACTTATTTTGCTAGCATGCAGCATCGAAAGAACTGTACAGCAGCTGCCAAAATAAAGTTTTCTACTTTTTTTGTTAGTTTTATCTGATTCGATCGGGAGGACCGGATTGTGAGCAGTAAAATAAATATTGTACGTGCCATTTATGCACTAACAGTAATTTTGTAATGCATGCCTTGTATTTTGCATCAAGGCATTTAATGATATCGCTGTACTGTACTGACATTGTCACATAACATTCGCAGCGTTCGCAAGCTACGAATGTTATGTGACAATGTAGGGAATGAACGAAAAATATTACCGTGTAATGACGCAGAAACCGCAAAAAAATAATGCGAATCTATTCCAAATTGTAATCCTTGTACATTTAGCTTATACACAACAGTTAACATCACAACGCAATACACTCAATCAGCAGAAAACAGCCTCGGGAGGTCTAAGAACAGAGAACAACTGATCTAAATTTGCTCCCGGTGGAGCTGTTCCCTGGACGGAGGCCGCGTTCCCGCGCTGGATTTCTATGCTGATACGCTGGCGCAGGTATTCCGGTGCTCTTGCCTCGCCAGTTTCATGCCGTACCCTTCTACCCACTTCCGTCAGCAGACGGGAAGCTTCCGGTCCGTTTGGTCCTAGCGTTTCAAAGCCCAAAGCGCGTTCCAAATTTTGCCTCAGGTAACACCGCAACAGACAGTTCAAGCATGCTTGTTCTGTGCTTATACTTGTACAACGTATGCTCGGGTAGGTACGATACGATATCACGTTTCAGTCACTTTTACTGGTACCTTACCGTACCGTACGGCTGCTGGATATTGTTGCAGTACTTATTTGGTTATGAGATGCAAAGTTAACACCGTATATTAGAAAATGGGTGCTTCACTTAGTCAGATATTGACGACAGGGACCACTGCAGCAGCCGCCAGAAATATGATCGCCGCGAAACATTGTCCAAATAGACTGCTATCCAAATACCGGGGATGCCTGCTTGGCGCGTTGGTTGGCGACTGTCTGGGACGGATGTTTGAGAACTCGCCGCCACCAGTACGCGTGTCTGCCATCGAAGATGCGATTAACAAACGAACTAGAAAACGTAAGCTGCGTAGCGGATTTTGACAGTATCGTTGATAACTTTTAGCCCCGTAGTTTGCAATATTAAGTTGATAATCTAAATAAATAAAGCGACTCATCACAATTCATAACAATATTAGTCGGAGGGGATTACCAAGCGACGGGTGAAGAGAGTAAGGTATGCATTGTCCGTTATTCGGCCAGTACTTGTTTGGAATGGCGGGACTACTTTGGGAATCCTCCTGCTGCAGCATCGGGTACGGTTTCTGACCACCCCAAATGAGAATATCGCCCGTTGTTAGCGATTCTTCAGATTGGTTCGTGGACGCATGAATTCTGCTTCTCCAGTCTGTATGGAGAAATCATGTTTTTGACACACCAGTTGACAAGTTGCATACGCAACTGCCAAACTTCAGAAGGCATTTACAAAAGTGCCTCTTGCAACTGCAAGTTATGGTCATGAATTCAAAAGAAATACCACAGAAAAAAGTGTGTTTGGGGTGGAAGTATACCATATTTACTAGGATCAGAAAATGTATAGGCAAACCTGATGGTAATTCCGCACAATCAGCCAGCTGCAAGTGGATAAACCAATACACAATACAGCAACAAAAGACGGACAGCTTGTAGGGTGCCATTTTTATGACATAAAATTAGCTTTCTCTGAGTACGAGTAGTGATTTATGTAATCGCACGGTAACTTTTAAAAGATTGACAGGTTCGACAAGAATACTGACTGTTTAATACTGCTTTTTGCTAAAATACAGCAAAGACAAGACACTACGTACATATTATGGCAAAAATTAAAAAAGCCGCCTTGACTTGTAGGCGTTCGTGTGATGACAGGAAGCGATTACCGCTAATCGACATACTTCCACACATCTGATAATGCTCACAAGTCAGCATACAGATACATGGAGCAATATTGAATCTCTGCAAATTAAATAGGATTTATTACGACCCGTTTAACCAGATTCTTTAGAAAAGCGCAAGCACTTTGAATGTTTCTGTACTCAAATCCGTAAATGATGAGGAATGCGAGGAGTTCTAAAAACGAACGAACGACGCAACAATCGAACGACGCAACAATTACAGTACATTGGCCATCACCTAAATAGTGTTAGGCCGGCCCGATATGGCTATTGCATATAGATATTTTTTAATTTCTTTAAAGCCTATAGATGTTTATAGGTATGTATCTGTACATATATTTAATGTAAATTACGCTAACAACTTTTTTAGTCTTACGTTTTACTCTTCATCTGGCACATTGCACCGAAACGTTAACATCTTATTTGCGCCTGATAATATAACTTCAGGCAGCTTCGTATTCCTGTTGACACAGCATATGTCCCCCTGTTTCAGATGAGCCATCAAAACTCTGACTTCAAGAAAACGTTTCCGCGTCAGATTTTGGCAATAGAGTCTTAACAACACTTAAACATTCATCTCAAAATACTTACTTTTTTTAAGTACAGATACAGTCGTTCAGAGTAGCTTGAGATTTTCCTAATTGTATACCCAAAAATCCAATTTAAATTTTAAGAAAATTCGAAGCGCTTTGTACGTAATTCAAAAATCCGCGAAATGGAAAATTTGAAATATAGAAATTAGCCGTGCATGCGGCCAACGCCCGTACAGAAATCACGTGCCCGTAGCCAACACCCGTGGACACCAAAAGGTCACCCGTGCACGCAGCCATAATATGTGAGTATTAGTAATCCTGGAACCGACGGGTCTATCACCAAGTGCGGCGATTCGACCTGACGGCATGACGCTTATTCCAGTCCGTCAGGGAAAGTCTGTTGTATGGGATGTCACAAGCTGGTGTACAGTAGCCGATTCCCATGTCCACGGAAGTTCGAAAAAGGCAGGAAGTGTGGCTCACCTGGCAGAAAATGAGAAGCGACGGAAGTACTCTCCACTGGAAAGTAGACACCTTTTCTATCCCTTAGTTGTTGAAACGTTCGGTGTATTCGGCCCAGCTTTAAGTGAATTTGTACATTTTATGGGCCGTAAAACTCGTGAATTAACTGGAGAAGCGCGTTCTACTGCTTTTATGAAGCAACGTTTTAGTTTGGCCACTGCTGTGTTAAGTACGTTGCCTTTTAACCCGCTGGCGGATAGAGATTTTGGTTGTTTTTTTAATGTTTAAATTTTAACTGTAAAGTAGTGTGCCCGCGCTTGCACTTTTTGTTGTTATGGCGGCTATTGCCCAATAAACAATACTTAGTAATCCTTGAAGAGTTGCGCAGCGCATTACCTGCAGGTTTACGCAGGCCAACTGGCTTCTGTTTGTGAATGCTGAAAGCGAATCAGACATCAGTTTTGTTTCCGTCGCTTCTGCAATTGCTGCATGGTAGCACGTACAGTATAAACTATAAAGTGTTGTTCAATCCATGCACCTTCTTCGCAAGGCTTCTTAGATCTTTCCGAGTCCGATGACTCTTTCCATCACTAACTTAGTTTGCATTCAGTCTGTAATAAATTCCTGTAATCTCCTTCCTGTCCATCGACGATGAAGAGCTAAATCTTGCTCTTTTGTTTAAAGGTTTGAAAAATGTGTGTAATCCTGTTTCATTTTTATGTACACGTATAACTTAAGATAACAGTACCTGTACCGCTATATTTACTTACATCTCAAGCATTAATTCAAAAATTGCCCTTATTATGTTCTATTTTCATTCTTGATTCCGTTCCTCGGTATATTTTCTTATTTTCACACCAGTGCAAGAATATTCGCTGCGGGTGCAGTAATAACCTCAAGAAATTACACTAAGATAAACTTCTTGCATCACCCACTCGTGGAAAAGGTCATCTATCTTAAACCAACACTGATAGCTGCCAGTATCACTTTCTCTTACGTCAAATATCGTTAAAGTTGACAGGCATCGACACTTGAGATCTAGGTCATGCTCGGTCAGTACACCTAATCTCGACCCTTGCCGGGATTCCATTCTTGCCCCGAATGCTCTGATTCCCGGCGCGATTATCAGATAATCTTCGTTTCTCCACATAAACCGCTTTTCCAAAGAACCGCGTAATGTCCAGAATTTGACAAAACACCGCAGACGAATATCATCACCAACTTTGGCTGTCACATTTTGCATTGGCGGCTGAAACACTTCTAAGGCCGTTAGCTGAGGACTAACTAAATACGTCTGGGTCAATACCCACTGGTTGTCGTTAAACCTGACACAATCGTATGTTCCGCTGTGTATATGGGAAAAGTTCCCCAGTTCTACCAGGAACGAATCCGTTACACGATCTGGTCGTATTATCATTTCCCGTAGTAATTTCTTAGTGTCACATTGGGACGTGCAATTACAGCAAACAAAGCCATCATCCCGGTTCTCACGCTTTCGACGGCGTTTGCTGGTAAAATTGTGTGATTGCCCGTTGAACAATATTTGTGAGGACGCCGGTTGTGGATTCGGGGAAAGGTTAACGTTGCTTCCGCTACAACGAAACACAACCGTGCTCCCTGTTGTTGCCCGGATAATGTTCCCAGTTGACCCCTGGTTGCTCGAAAAGTTACCGTCTTGCGACAAATGTCGTAGGTGGTAAATGCCGTTGCTTCCACTGGCAATTGCTTGGTTCAGCAGGTCGATGACTAAGCAGAATTAGCATGGCTGTTAGCTTAAGACTTAATTAAGATGGGTATATCTGCTTGAGTACGCTTCAAAATCTTAGCATGAAATTTTCAAAAAAATTAAACTAATCATATCAGGCTCGTTATTCTGCTCAACATTAACCTGACCATATAACTGATATAAGCTGTGTTGTTTATCATTAATCTAATAACGAAAATGCGGAATTTTGCAAACAGTTTTTCTATCGGGAGATACGGAGCTATCTGTACATACTTGTCTTTCGATTTCGTCGTGGCTGCACTGAACATGCGTGGAAATACTGAAATATTAAGCAGAAGCAAAGTGTACTCGATAGCATTTTCAAAGCCATCAATTCAAAAAGCATAACGAAATAAGTCATCCTAGAAAACAGACTGGGTAAATAACTCAACTCCGAGTTTACTCCCGTCATACAGCAAAGGCATTCGTTCTAAAGTACCATGTATAAACAATTTCATCATTAAATTTATTTTTAATAATGGTTCGTTTAAATTGTTAAGCAAAATATTCCGTTATGTTCTATTACAGCAGGTTTATAGGTTACCAGCTACCCTGATGAAACTCTAAACCTTATTTCTATCTATATCTGTAATTATATCTATATCTACATGTAGATTTGCAAGAACTGGTTCTGAAAAAGTTGCACTGGTTTGAGATTCAAAAATTGTTTTGGAATTGTGCAAGATCCTAGAATATTCTGGGAGGTTTTAGACAGGTCACTAATAGCAGTATGAGCACATTTTCTAATTTTGGCGTTACGAATTGGAAGTGCTTAGCAACAAAAAATTATTTTAATTTTATTTAAATTTTAAATCAAATTCATTTTTTTAAATATCTCTAAACAATTTTAATTAAAGTTTCCAGCGATATGACCCCACGCAGCGGGGTCATCACCTCTGCACATATAGTACTTTGGAACTCCTGCTTACATTTTTAAAAAAAGTAACCAACCCGTATATCCTTTCCCTATCTTTTACTTTGACACTATGACACTCGTACGAACCTTTCACTCTGTGGACTACCTTTGACTCGGTACACTATCTTATCGAGCACCACCTTTGACTCCGTACACTACCACTCAGCACCATGCCTTTATTTGCGTGCACGACCTTTTGTTCAAAAATTTTTCCTTTTCATGTAAACCATCATCAACAGTTATAAAATCGAGTTCCTGCGTGCAAGCAACTCCCGGCGCCCGTGTGTCGGTTTTTTCTTCGCAGGGTTTGGCACGCCGTTTTTGAACGAATTTTCGACCCATTTTCGCAGACTCTCCCTGCATAAGAATTTGCCACTGGGTCTTTTCCACAAAGGGCAACCGTTGCCGCAAACGCGTAAAACCCGAACAAACCCGAATACAAACGGATACAGATTTCGAGCACCCGGCTGATCGCTTGGCGAATACACAAAAATGATTTATTCAAAATTGCTATAACTTTATTCAGCCATCATGCGCGATAACTTGTTTGGTATTATTGGCAGATCTCATGAACCAGATCCTGTTGTAACAGGGATTTCATCCAGAACCGGTTCCTGTTAAAACAGGACACGATCTGGTTCTAGATAAATTTTGCGAACCAATGCGTGAACAGATGAAAAAACATTTGGGAAGATTTTGATACCAAAAAAGTTGTCGCGCATCGTGGCTGAAGAAAGTTACAGCCATTTTAAATCAATCAATTTTGCGTATTCGCCAAGCGATCCGCTGGGTGCTTGAAATCTGCATCCCTTTGTGCTCGTAAGGCGATCCTTTGAAATCATACATTCGGATCGGGAAGCGCGCAGCCTCAAGTCTCTCGAACGTTTTTTTTTATTAGGTTCCCTATGGAAAATTAGGAATTTTTCAAGACTAAGCTTGACTTAAACTAACCACGCGTTAGTTTATCCATAAAAACCCAGGAAAAATATGTTTTGAACGGTAAGCTTGTATGAATACAAGGTATGCCTGGTATGCAAAACCCTCTTGGACGGAAACTAATATTTGACCTCCCCACGATTTTTTCTTGAACCTGTGACCACTGGCTATTTTTTAACTTTTTTCATTAAATGGTCCGTGCGATTCCGATTTTTCTCTACATTATTGCACTAATTGCTGCCTCCGTGGCAACAGTTTGTTTTACTCGTAACTCGTAAGAATGTACTGCCGTACCACACTACCACTGTACCAGCATCTAAAGAACGTCATTATATTAAGTACTCCATTTCTATATGTAAGAACCTGTCAAAATTTCTTCTGGCCAAGGCCTTCAAAACAAAATAAAAATTCAGAAGGCACACCTATGGAATTTTAGGAATTTTTCAAGACTAAGCTTGACTTAAACTGACCACGCGTTGATTTATCCATAAAAACCCAGGAAAAATACGTTTTGAGCGGTAAGCTTGTCTGAATATAGAGATAGAGACATAACATTAGTCTATTACATCAAGATGCCTTCCCGACTGTTGACGGTTTGACTGTTGGGATGAGAGTCCATTGAGATTAGCGCAGCAACTGTGATTTGCCGTATGAAATAGGCCACACACACAACTTTGAAAACGTTATGCCGAAATGAAAAGCAAGTCGGGTGCCGAAATGAAAAGCAAGTCCCGACTTGCTTTTCATTTCGGCACAGCACTCTGAGCCACACTCACATAGATGCCAGCTCGCTCCCATAGATAACTTCACGTCGCGTTCATAGTTATCGTCATGGCAGTTCATCTGCTACCACGGTAATGGTTGTTTTGCGTTATTTCAGCGGACTTTGGCCCCAACAGTTTACCCGGCAACAGTCGGGAAGGCATCGTCATGTAATGGACTATTGTCGAAATCGTTTAGAAGTATGGTAGTCCACCGAGTGAAAGGTAATTGAAGTTGGCGTTTTGTCGCTAACTTGTTTTAACGACGTGAGAGAAACGCCGGCATGGCTGATCTCATTCTGTGGCTACGAACAATAGCTTTGTTCGGATCACCTATCGCCTTTCTTTGATTGCGTGGAATGTGAAGCATGTAGCGTTGGAGCTGCTCCATTACCTGAGCTAGCCAGCCTGGCCATTGGCCAATTCACCGGAAAGCTGCCTGCCTGTTTCCTTTCGCTCAGTTGAAGATGGCCTAGTTAGGTTGACTGCATTCGCTGGTTGTGTGGCACTATCTGTGTCTGGCATTTTGTCTTTTGCAGGCGGACTGGAATTTAGAAGTTGTTCAGTGATTGTTGAGTGTGTATTTGCCGTGTTATTCATTTTACCCGCCATCCCACCCTGATGCTTGCTTCTAATGTATTCCATGTATTTTTTTTCGTTACTTAGCAAACTCTGTCCGCAGCGCTGTACAAAATTATGATTAAAGGTCTGACCTCACTCGCGCAGCTCTCTCGCTATGGTACGCGCAGAACCGCACCGGAAGGCAGTCTCCTACCCTGGTCACGAATCAGGTGGTGGTCCCAACTCCCTGGGTGGGAGTCACCTGGCCACGTATCAGGTGTCGCCAACCTCCCTGGCCACGAATTAGAGAGGACACCTGGCCACGCATCAGGTGTCTGCGATGGCATACACGCGCATACGCATACGCATACACTCCTTCCCGGTGGTCGTGGATGTTCTGACGATACCACGAGACTCCGCGGCCGAGCTGAGGCTGGCCATTTGCCCCAAACCATTTGTCGGCGTTTCTCGAACATAGGCGTTAACGTGGATTGGTTGTCTACCGAATGAATGGTGTTGTCGAATGTAGTTTACTGTACCAGATGAAAGGTAGTTGGCCGAAAAGTACTTTACTGGTTGTCTTCGGATAACACCGAATTCACACGGCGATTAGTGGAAGACTGAATTAGAATAATCCAGAGGATGCGCAGAGTCAAAACGCGGACTTACATCGAGCATCTGCGACGTACATCGAAACGAGAAATAGGCGTACCAAGTCCCAATTGGCTGGGCTTCGATGTAAGTCGCTTTTTGCTCGATGTCTGTCGGTGGGCGTCGACGAAAACCGTTACGAACATGGGCGTACCTTGTAACGGGTCTAAGCGACGCCCAGGTACTTACAAACTTCGCGTTTCCGCGATTTTTATTGGTGGGTCAGCATTCTGAGTTAGATCGAGGCTGCCCACCGCCAATAGCAAAATTCAAAACCACGTGATCGTTTCTCCATACTTTGGGCTGACAGCGACGGTTACACAGTAAAACGACAGGGTTTTCCGTCTTTTTTTAAGTTTTTTAAGTTCTTGTCTTCTAGTTTGCTGTTGAAATCAGAAATATGAAGCTGATATGCATCTATAGTGCAGGGAAGCCAGTATTCTGGGAATCCAGATAAGACGGTGCAGTATAGTGTTTGGCCAGATGCACTCCTGTTTATACTGATCGCTTGCTACCTGATTATCGTTCAATTTAAAATAATTTGAATCCCACCGCAGCTGACTAGCGTATTACAAATTGATTCCGACTTGCCAAAAGGTCCTTGAATCCTTGTGGCTGTCTCTAACGATTTGTGGTATACTTGTCATGTATTGCTGGCATTTGCTGCCGTCGTATCGCAGGGAACCCTGCGCGCTGGCTACCCAGCTGTGGGTGTTGGTTGCAGTTTACTGCATTCTGTGCTTGAGTTCCTGATCGGATGTGGAAACCCGACTACGATTTATACTCCTGGACAACTCCATTTTTGGTTTTTCATCCTATATTTTGACAGAAAATTGTATGTTTTGCTTGACCGTGTGGCGGGTTCCCGCTATGATCTGGTTACCCAGAAGTATTGTTAGTATATCTTGTTGTTTTCTTTTTTTATTTAGTTTAAAATAATACTGCATAGCAGTACCTTAGCGCGCCTTGTTTTGGTACTTTTAAACAGGTTATGTGTCTTTGTTTAACTTTTAGAAACGTAGTGCTACAGTTTATCGTTAGAAGCATAATGTCAGCACAGCACGCATACATATTACATGTCAGTCTGTATGTCCTGACTGTTGTGCGCATGCGGTCGAGTTTAGCCCGTACATACATACATGCAAGATGCGTAAACGGGCGCGGTTTTGCGTTCGATGTCTGTATGTAAAGGGTGAAAAACGTTGTAAGTAAGTCCCCGAAGCGCCTGTGCGCATCTGGTCTAATAATATTATGCATTGTCCGCCTGTCGACAATTACTCGACGTATTGGGAAACCGGAATAATATGGTTGTTCATGTTGCCCATGTCCATAAATGTAGGCACCAAGCATTTGTAAGTAATCATTGCGAGGCTGTTTTGTGCTGATTGAGTGTACTTCGTTGTGATTTTATTTGCTTTTCTATAAGCGGAATGGGTACAATTAAAGTTATTATGACTGGAAGAAAAACATTGCGATTGCCAGTACAGTACGTACTACGTACTATACATACTCCTATGTGTGCAGGCCGCAGCAGCGTTAAAGCGTAATCTGCCGCTGCAAGCAAGTGATCAACGCTGCAGTGCATGTATCCTGCAGGACTTCGAAAGCCTACAAAAAATTTAAATAATATGTAAAGGATGTCAGCAATACTGCCGTGATCCAAGATTCGCTTTGTTTTGTATCAATGTTACAACTGTCACGCGCGCAAGAAAGTATGTAATTCTCATGGACAGTTATCGGCATATGTAATGTTGTCGTCCAACTTTATCGTAATGTCGCAGTCGTATTCAGCGCCACAAGAAGCAATGAATTTATGCCTGCCTGTGGAATACCCGGCCATGGGCTAAGTGCAGCATAAGGTGACAAATGGGCAGAATGCGATGGTCGTTGTGTCACGTGTGCACTGCCTTTATCACATCCCAATTGTGTTGCTGTCATTCTAAGCATTAAATCATAATTATTTAGCACGAGAAAATCATATCATCACGCAGTTGCCTTCGGTTGTTTACTTAACTGAAACAAGTGTTACGTTATCGTTATCTTTTAACGAAAGTTGCTGCGCTTTTGTAGATTTTGCCGTTTGCCAGTAATTTGATCTTATATACAGTCCAGATTTACGTGATGTTGGACCGGCCGACTACCGGGTACAATGGTCGATCGGACAAAAGGTCTTGTATAAAAATTCTTGTCTTTTTTTTCATTCGGTTGAGATATCGGTTGGCGGTTTTCGTTGGGAAATGTGCAAGGTGCAAGGTGCAATTGTCAGTATCAAAAGGCCGATGGCCAGCCGGAATAGGCTGTCTGAACACAGATAATGGTTGCACGCGTTATATGGTTATACTGTATACGTCTAACACCTTTATTGCGTCCATTGAAATGCTTATTTTAAAAAGTTGCAGTCTATCTGAAATCCACGTAGCTTTGTTTTAACCGAAATGTCTATCAGTTTATACGAAAAGGCTGAATGAAGGGTCAGCAACTATATAAACAAAGTGAACGCAGTTGGAAAGCGCATGGGAACTGGTCAAATTATTCGAAAGCACACTAATACACTTACATAATACAGCGCTATGGTAGCTAATTATTTAGTAACTGACCCTTTCCTGGCTTTAGGATCAGTCACTAGTGCAGTGAACACGTGAGCACACAGTACATATCTACGAGTAATAAGCTTTACAAACAGCAGAGTGTCTTGGTTTTGTTGTGGTTATTTTGCTGGTTTAACGAACATGATATTGTGATTCCTCTGTTACGCAACTTCGGAAGTTGCACTTCCACAGACCATGGTTGAGTCCAACCATGTAAATTAGAGGGCTGCTGGCAATGTTTTTGTTGTGGGTGGAACCGAGGCCACCACAATGTTTAAGTTTAAATTTTCTGCTGTTGCTGTCTGTTCAAGTGTATACTATATAAAAATTTATTCGGCAATGGCCAATTCAGGTAACAATGAGCTTGCGCAGGTAAAACTACTTAAAATGATTCAAAATTTAAACAGTAAAAACAGGCTGACACTGCTGGCCCCCCTTGGGGGCAGTGTATACTTGTATTGCTAAACAAATCAGTTGCGCAGAATTGCTATAAGGTTGGTGATATTTTTCAAATGAGATTTCTAGAAACTTGGTAGTTTTATCAACACAGAATAGCACCTGCAATATATACTGTAGTATTCCATAATCATTATAATTATTATAACATTCCATTTTTGGTTCCACCTGGCATTCGGTACAACACGTACTATCAGCGGTTCGCATGGAGTGTATGAGCAACTGCTTAAAAGCGGCATAACTGCAGTATCTGCTGTACTCGTATTATTTTAAGCGTCGAATGTGCATCTGACAAAATAAGGGACCATCCATAAATTACGTAACGCAAGTAGGGGGTGGGGGGAGTCCTTGAAACGTTACGATATATGACGAAGGGGAGGGGGGCTTTAAAAAATTTGTTACGTTTTGTTGGAATTATGACGTCACAATGGTATAGCTTATGGACGGGTTTTGATTTTATTACATAACGCTTAGGGGAGCGGATCTCAGTTTTGTTAGCATTGGTGACACAGGGGGAGGGGAGTATTCAAAACCGTGAATTTTGGCGTTACGTAATTTATGGATGGCCCCTAACAGTACGTACAGTACTTTGTATCTCCTTTAACTCACTTGGTATCGGGCCAGTCTACTAACAGCGATGCTGCGGTATGCACTTCGTCCTAGCGAAAACTTCGTCACATATGCAGCTGCTGTCATCGATTTTCTCTTGCCTATTCGTCAAACTCATTCATTAAGCTGTTATTCGACCTGATCCCACACCTCGAAAAAATTTCATCCTAATATTACACCATTCTTGTATCACGGTTTTTTTCGTGCCGCCCCGCATAGCTCTTCCGGACATGTAATAATCGGCTATGGCGTATGCAGTGGGTAAGTGCCGTACTTTCGTCGTGATCGCCGTTGGAGATCCGTAACTACGTCTGCGGTGCTCGTTTTGATCTTTCACTCACTGGCGCAGGCGGCTCCATGTAAAATCAATACTGTTATACTGATATTAAAACTAGGAAAATGCACCGAACTGTACATTGGTTGACCGGAGCGCAGCTCTTATTAGGGTTGAAGACTGAAAGTACCTGAAAGTACCTGTGAAAGTACCTGTACGTTAAATCGCGTGATCGCCGTTGGAGCAAAAAAAGGTTGGAGCAAAAAAAGGCGTTGGAGCATTAACAAAAATATACTCACAAAACGTTAAATTTTCTGCATTCGGATAAAGCAGGGCAAAACCAAAACGAATTACTCTGGTCGCGAAGTGAATATACAATACAATCGCAAAGTGAATATAATAGTATACAATAGAATATGAAATATTCCGTGTATCCGGATGGAACGGATCCGGCGCTCTTCCCGTTGTGAACGCTTGTTAACGATGAATGCGCAATCTACGAAGAAATTTCACTATGTAATAATAATAACAATAAAAATTGATTCTTTATTAGATAAAATCAGCTAAATATTAATTAGCGGTTGAGTTATCAATAAAACTACATGCAACAGACGCCCATTGCGCAGATCAAACATGTTACAACATAAATTTACCAATTTCCTACGGTTGTTTCTAATTTACCAGTTTCTTAGTTTTACGGTTTCCAGAGGTATAGCGTCTGGATGAAAACGGCTCTCTTGCCGCTGTCGACGCTTCTTGTAGATACAATCTACGAAAAAATACAAGTACTGTAATAATAATAAAGATTATTTCAAAACTAGATAAGGTACATTAAGCATGCATGAGTTAGCGATTGAGCTATCAATAAAACTTACACCCGACACCAAATAAAATGGCAAAACATGCCACCATCACGATAATGGTCACTTTATTCGCGGTGGTCAGTTTCACATCTTTTTTATCCTCCTCCCCGTCTTTTTGATTGGATTCTCGGCGGTGACCAGAAGACTCTTTTTTTGAGCTCAGTTCTTCCGCTGTCGAATGGCGAAGTTGCCCAAGTGGGTCGGCCGGACGTTCTGCTGCAGTCGTATTACTCGGTGTCGGCAGGACATCGGGCAGATTGATTACTCTGGCGGCAATGATGCATGGCGCGATAGTGATAACGATGAAGATAAACATTTTCATTGCGGCCTTATTAGTCGACATTATGAGAAATAGTCACGTCCTTAAAACAGTAAGTTTTCAGCGGTAGATACCGGCCTTCACATGGGTACAATTCCGCGATGTGGCACACCTGACATCAGCGCGCAGCGGTTTGCCAAAGTCTCGGCGTCGGCAGACTGAAAAACTCTAGCTGGATGATAGAACGTCGAAAATACGAGGATAATTAGCACCGCATTTCCCCTGGTTCTCTACAACCGTACAGGTCACACCTACGAAACTGTGATTCGTACATACTGTACATGCGCACGAACCTGCTGTTTCTGTTTAGCCCACAATGCAGCCAGTCAATAATCTTCAGTCTATATACTTGTATGCCTCCATACTGTGCGGGTGTCTGATGTAATGCATAATCACATACAAACTCCGTGTTACTAGTATGTTTACCAGCCAGGAGAAAGATGTTAATACCTCGTAATATGGACTAAGAGTTCGTATGTGCTGCGCTTTGTCTGCAATAAATATGCAGCCGCGTTAAAGGAGATCTAAAAGAAGTTAATTTGCTGATACAGTGACAGTAACTACGTTGTTTATAATGTTTTAATTTAAACGCTGTTTACACAAACTTTCACAATTACACGTACAAAATTTGCCAAAGGCTATATAGCGTCAAGATAAACGATTTTATTGCGAGTATCTAATATCCGACAATCGGATGCCTGTTTTTCCCCATCTTTCAGCAATTCTTGCTATGGTATCCCCACTTGGTGCAACATACCTGCGAACTATAATAAAAAATGTTACTCGCGCATTCCGTCATTAGTGAGATGAGTGCTTTTGTTTTGCGCTTTACTTTCGGGAAAAAACCAAAACGCGTGCAGTTGGTACACCACAATTTGCACATTCCCATATTTTGCCCGCTTCTTAATCTTCATAAACGCAGGTGCTATCTGTGATATATAAATATTCTGTCTATTGCCGGTATAACTCCATTCTATCGCAAACCAAAGGCTGTGCTCGCTCCATCTTGTCAAAGCTGTCGTCGATACACCCGTGTCTTCTGTAGCTTCGTAACATACAACACGCTTAACCATTTACGTTAATCCATGCTTACGGACGAGCGAATCTTGGGAATGATGATCGGTTTGTCGCAGCTTTTGGCGAAATCCAAGGCTGTATAGTTTAAAATAACCCCGCAGTCGCACGGAAGCCCGCGTGTGGACATATGCGGTAAGATCGCGTATTTGACGTCGTATATGTCTCCTATAATGTTTCAAAAAAACGCTTGGATGAACTCATTGCTGTCCGGGCGAGGTGTTTTCGTGGTGGCTACCAGCGCATGCAAAACTTCGTGCAATATAACAACCTACTTCATGCAGCCACTTTCCAGTCGAATTTGGTGGCGCGGCCGGGAAATCGGCCTACTTGTGCAATACAACTAAGTAAACAGAAACTGGACTATTATGTTATTGTCTGTGTTTACGCTCAATATTAGCAAATTGTACTGTTAGTGTGCAAATTCTCTTCAAGCGGGTATTATCGAGAAGACTGTATTCTTCTTCGCAGGCCCGTGCGTTAAAGGTCAAAAAGTTGATGGCAGGTCGTTCATTTGTACGATAACGTTCGGGACACGATGTCGAGCTGGGTTGTTTGGAAAATGGTGGCTTGCAGAAATTATAGTATACATGGACGATGTCTGATTTCTGCTAACATAGGCAGAACTATAGTCATACGGTTTATACCGTAAGTACAGTATCGTATGATACACATAATTATTGTAGTAGACTATCTGGTCCATTTGCGGCGCTATCTTCAACAACATCTATCGACTGGCAAGTGGCAGTCTGATATTTCTGAATGTCTAAAAACCAGGAAGCCGAAAAGTGAACATACGGTTTTAAGTTGGACAGCTTTTCTTGCATTCTGTTTCTCATGAATTGTGCCTACTTAGGTTTGGCTTATTAAAAATTAAAGCAAAACAAAACCATCTACGGCAGTCTCAGTAAGTAATCTCACCAACGCAGCATCAATATCAAATGACAAACCTCGCCTCAATCCAATATTAATTTAAGGACTGCACTACGAACAAATATACAAAAATGTTGCACTCCAAGTTGCAAAAACCGCGTTCTTACGTATTATGTCCTGGGCCGGGTGTACCGTTTGCTTTACAATCAGCAAGCCTGTGCTGAAAAATCAGTAATCTTTAAAACATTACACCGTTTAAAGTTTTACGCACACCGGCTGGCTTCGGATGTTTTAACCGAATCAGAAGTAAGTTCCCTTTCCATCGTTTAATGTGTTGCTGCTCCATCAGTGCGTCTTCTTCGCAAGGTTTTCTCTAACCATTCCGAGCCGGATTACTTTTTCTCTTTTGCTACTTAGCTTTGCATGCAATCTGTAATAAACTCTCATTATTATTGTTGCCTCTTCTTATTAATGGCTTTCTCTCATTAATTATGATTAATTAAATAATTATATTTGCTAAGTGAAGTAAAAAATTGCGAACAAAGCTTAATTACTTTGTAAAAATTTAAGAATGTGCATGACGTTGTATCTGCTTGGACTATAAGTAAAGTATGTATGTATCGCAAGTCACAATTAACGAGTTAATTTGCACCGAGCGCGAAGCGCGAGGTGCTGACGCCACGATGAGCGTACGTCACGCTTTTCCAATTCCACAATCCCAATACCATTTCCCAGTGGTAATGGCGCTCGCGCTCGTGCAATAATGTGGTTTGCAACCACCGCTAGTTATTGTTAATGTTAACTGGACGACATGTCTCTCTTCTCTCCACCCGTAGTGCGTTACGTGAGTTGGGAGGTGGCGCTGCGTGTGGTCGTAGCTTTGATCAAAGCGGCCGACAGCACGGACGTGTCCGCTGCTTGTCTCGACACAGCAGTGTGTCCGCAGTGGTATGCATTTCTGTTCGCTGTTGTCCTTGCTCTTTTCCGACATCATGATTGTGATCATGTTCTTTTACCACCCGCCAGTGATCGAAGTTAAATAGACTACCATGTAGGACTAAAAAAAGTGAAAATAGGTCAGTCGGTTGGTGGTCCAAATTTTCCGAATCGACACACAGTGGGCAGCAAAAACACATACAGATGCATACAATGCGCATAATAAATAAACATCCTTAGAAGTAGACTCAGCTGGGTTTGAACACAGAAACTTTTGTTTGCACGAACCACGGACTGAATATGGTTCAATTACGTACTTCCCCTACGAAAACGCATTGAGAAAATTCTATTTACTACAATTTAACTTTGATATTTTTTCGCAACAGCTTTATTTTCTTTTTTAACCATATGTATTTAAATGTTCACGAACAAAACTCGAATGTAGGTTTAACCAACAACCAGTTGCAACCTCTACAGTTTTCGGAACAAAATAATATTTCAACAGTAATTTCGAAGACCAACGAATGGGATCTAACTATACGATCAAAATCTGTCCAGGATAGATCACGTCAGGATTTTCAATATTATTATCAACGACGAGCTGCTGTCAGTTCTTCCCCATCTGTGCAGCAATTCTGGCTATGGTGTCCCCACTTTGCACAACGTACCTGCGAACTAAAGCCAAAACCAAAACTCTAACACAAGCATTCCGTACGAAAATAAGTGTGCTCTGCTCGTACTTACGTTCAGGAAAAAACCGGAACGAATGCACCACAATTTCTTCTATATGATCCGCTTCGTAATCTTTATAAACACATAAACTTATCGTTACGGGAAGTGCTTTCTGTGGAATACTTTGCGCAGTGCCGGCATGACTCCATAATTTAAACAACAAATCCCGGTTGCTACTCTGATGATCGTGCTGGGAAGAAAACGTCACGTTTCCCGGCTTCCATTCGTATGTATGGGTTGTGTACGTCCCAACAAGGAAAAACGAGAAAGCGTGCTGCTTATCTGCACCGCTTGAAAAGGGCGATGGCAGACGCCGACTGGCGACCCCGTAACTAGCGATCGGAGCATCGGCGTTACCCCACCGCGAAAACTGAATACCGATACGCGGATGAGGGTCCATTTGACTGTAAAGAGCGAAAACTACGTGAGGATGTAGTTGATCCAGACGGCTTTCAATGTGAAACTGGTAACGGCCGAAACCGAACGTATCGACCGAGCGAACACCGGCGCAATGGAAAAAATTGTTACGCTTGGTCAAACGGAGGTGGAGTTGATCGTCGATGACTTGGACATTGTTCACACCGGCTTCGGACATTTCCATGACCGTCCACATTAGGTCTGAGAAACGAATCGTGGCTGGACTCTTCTCCGATGTTGCAGCGGTTGTCGCCGCAGTTGTCGAGCCAGTATTTGCCTTGTCAGTACCAATTGCTGTCTGGTAGTTTGGCTTTCCAGTGGTGCTGCTCTCGTCGCAGTGCAATTGCGGCCTGCGCTCCACTCTTTCAAAGTTGTCGTCGATGCACCCGTAAGCCTTCTGTAGTTTCGTGACATCCAGCGCGCTCAGCCATTTGCGCTGACCCATTCTCACAGGCGAACGAATCTTGGGAATGATGGCCGGTTTGTCGCGGCTCTTGGCGAAATCCCACGCTGCATAGTGCAGAATGGATTCGTAGTCGTACTGGAGACCGTGGGTGGGCATATGTGGCAAGATACCGTAGTTCAGCTCGTACATGTTGGGCTGAATGTTTTCGGTGAATACTTGGACGAATTCATCACGGTCAGGTCGGTTCTGTTCGTGGTAGAAGCCGAGCGCATGCAGAAGTTCGTGCAGAATAATTCCGTCTTTCATACAGCCGCTTCCCAGTCGGATTTCCGTTGTTCGTCCAGGTATTATCCCGACGTGCGACATGCACCTACAAGTTACAATCAAATACAATAGATTATCACGTTTCTAACTGACTATACATTTTTTTTATTTTTAGCACGACTGTTATAGTTTTCAACCGGCTGCAATAAAGAGTTGCCGCAAATTAAGCTTTACTGACCCTCGCCCAGCGGGAACGATAGATATGTATTCGGTTTCCTCCGTTTGGATCTTGAAAGACAAGCAGTGATCTGTGCGTCGCTCGATGGTGTTCATGGCGTTACGGATACGCTGCTTGGTTTCTTCGTCTGTAAATATTTACCTAATTAAACCACATAATTTCACGAAACAACTGCTAATAGTTTCACTAAAATAATAATTCCATGATTTATATAAGCGAAAAAGTGGGAAATAAGAATGCACTACACTAAGTAAATTGAATATTGGTACACTGCTGCATTAAATATTGGTCAAAAACAGTTACTGTACCGAATGCCGGGTGTAGACGATATGGAATGCACTGTCCGCTGTTAGGCCAGTAATTGCTACCCGACACAATGTGACCGCTTCCCGGTTCCTCTGCGGCCAACATCGGGTATCCCGGTGTGGCTGCATCTTCCCAGATAATATCGGCTCTGGTCAGTGCTTCTTCCGATTCGCTGACCGATGGGTGAATTCGATGTCGCCATTCTGCGCCGAGAACTTGTCATATTCGAAATTGTTGGGTAATGCCATTCAAAGAGTGCTGCCCACCTGATGGTAATTCTGCGCAGTTAATCTGTTTCAAATGTAATAGGCAATGCGCAATAAGCAGAGCACTGAACATCAGTCGTAGAACATTCGTGCTGAACATTGCGGTGGTCGCAGTTTCACTCGCAACAAAAATACTGCTGCCGAAGTTACCCAATTAACATAAATATGGTTGAACGGACAATAAGATGCTGGGAGCTTAGGTCAATGTAAGTACAGCTGCTGAACACGAGTAGTAGAGTAATTATTTGATTTTGGTTAAACCGGTCAGACGACAAACAACTGCATATGACTGTGTGTCCTGGCAGTATTGAGTGAGTCCAGAAAACAACCACTATCTGATCCCAACCGCTACGGTATAATGGTTGTATCACGCAGGTGTCATCTGAAGTCTAAAGTATTCTGATAAATCTGCGTGCTCTCTCTAACTGCGTCCATGTACTCGTAATTTTGACAGCTTCTCCCTGCTTCACAAGGTTGTATGAACAGATAAGCAACAACAAAGTCGGATAAATCACAGTACCAACATAGTGCAGTGAGTCGGCGTCACTGCAGTCGGAGTAACGCAAATCGGCAAAGGCATAGTGGAAAACGTAGCGACACTAGGTAGAATGCAATGCGTACAGACTAATGCCGTACATACCAAAAGAAAACTTTATTCAACAGATCTTCCTCGTGTAGCCCGTAAATTTTTCACAGTGCTGCCTGCGACCAACAGCGCGAATCCAGAACGCAACAGAAAGTAGTAGTCGAGTAAGTACCGGTACTTACATACTTCTCACAGTTAAATCACACTTGTATCAAGATGTTACCGATAAGACCACAGACGATTAAAGACTTGCAATCAGTTCTGCTAATCGTGTCTGAAGACTTGCCAACATACAGACTAAAAGTGAAATAGACCTGGTAGGGCAGTTCTTTGCAGAACATCGGGTTTGGCGTGTAATAAGGAGCGTGAAAGTACGAGTGCTTAATAACCTTTTTTTAAAAATGTTCACAGACAGTGCTCCGTTAATCCTTAGTTTACGCGCCTTATGCTTGTACACTTATTTTATAGAGAGTTACTGTGCGGAATTACCGACAGGTGTGTGATAATGTCATAGTTGTAAACTTGTTATACCACTAGTATTTACCTAAAGAAAAAATTGCAGAAGTTTGAAAACTCTAATATTTTACAAGAAAATACTGCTTCTGTATCCGATTAGATGCGTAATCTCCTTAATTTTGTGTGAATTTTATTTGCAGACTGGCAGAGCAGAATAGATCTATCGGTTAATGAATCAACAGAACCGGAAACTGGAGATGACATCATTTGGGACGATGGGGGGTATGCCCTGCTCGCATCCGCGGACGTGGATGAGACAGACCACCGGGTTTCGTTCAGTTATTGGCCTGATAGCGGGAAAGGTGTTCCTTACTTCATACATCCAGCTTTTGGTAAATCTGCATGAAAGATACTGGCAAATTGCAGATTACTTACCTTCTTCGTACCATCGCTATCATATATATATTTTAAGATCCGGCGTAAAAGATCGGTTACTATATCTACGATATCATCGAACGCCGTTGACATTGTGCCAGTGTCAACGGTTATGTGTGCAAAATTAATTTAATTTTAATAAATACATTCAGATCATTGTACTTTAGTAACTCAGTTTATCACTTTATTTCTAGGTGACGCGGATCGTCAAAAAATTCTGAAAGCTTTGCGAACCATAGAGCGTTGAGTAGATAATTGTGTACAGTTCAAAGTACGTGCAAATGAAGAGGAGCACATTTCAATCGTGCCATATGGACGAGGGTAACTACTGACTAGTAACTACAGTATACCGTACACCGTGGTATGTTTCCGGTTTCGACAGGAGGTTGAACTACATAATTATACTACAGCAAGAATCGTTATAACTATTAAAATGCCACGAATTTTCGTGCAAATATGAAACGAAACGTTGTAATAGGTTAATTAAAATACTAACAGAAACATTAATAAACTGACTACTACCTTAATATTAAGTACTGTTAGTTTAGTAATACTATATTATGATGCTATACATAGTAATTACGTACTGATTACTGTGCGTACAATACATACAGCAGAACCAAGTATTGCGCTCGCACAGCGTACATCCACTTCTACAATTCTAGTTGCCTGTCTCACGTGGGACGGACTCCTCGCCGCGTTACCGAGGTCCGACTCAGCAGGAACTGCATGAAAGAAGGCATTATTATGCACGAACTTCTACATGCACTCGGCTTTTACCACGAGCAAAACCGGCCAGATCGGGATGAGTTTGTGCAGGTGTACCCTGAGAACATACAACCAGAAATGTACGACACAAACTACCGAATATTGCGTAGTATGCCCACACATGGCATTCCGTACGACTACGAATCTATCCTCCATTATGCAGCCTGGGACTTCGCCATCAAACGCGATAAGCCAGCCATAATTCCCAAGATCCGCACCTCTGTGAGGATGGGTCAGCGCAAATGGATGAGTCCACTGGATGTCGTGAGACTGCAGAAAGCTTATGGATGTCTCGATGATAACTTTGAATAAATAACGCAAAGCCCTGTGGTTGCGTCCACATTAACCGAGACCACAGCGCTAGCCGCTCTTAACACCAGCCTATCGAGCCAGAGCCTTGCTGCTTTTTTTGCCGAACAGAGAACACGTATGCTTAGCGAAAATTATAAGATTAATTTTTGAATGAGATTATTCAGCCTTAAGTTCCACGATATTGTATAAATCGGTTGCAGAAAACGGTAAATTTTGCTGCTACTTGGTATTTCAGTGAGAACCAACATGGCGTGCTCGGACCATCTGAAGTGCGGCTGTTTTCATGGCTGGTGCTGGGCGTATGCTTACTGGGAACTAATGAAAATCGGCGACCCGTGGTGTTGGACGCAGCCGGTGGGTGTTCCAGGCGGGCAAAGATCCTTTGCATCGTGCGGCGCTGATAACGATTGCAACATCACGATGACGTGCGGCGACAACATCACATATACCGGCAGCGGTCCACCAGAAGTCCGTCCAGCCTTTGCGGACGTCACAGCTGGGCCAACGTCACAATGCAAAACAAATCTTCAGTACTGCGGGCAGCTTTTACGTTTTTTAGGTAGAAACCCTTATTGTTAGATACGTATACTGTATACGCGCGTGCAGCGTTACTAGTTGATCTGCACTGATACAAACGCTTCCGCGCATACTCTAAACTTACAGCGTGCATAAATTTTCAGCGTTTCACCACTTTATTAATGCTTTGCAGGCTATAGTGTCGGGGAGGGTGAATATTTGTCAAATATGCTATTTAAGTGCAAAGATGGCCGTAATGTGGAACCGATTTCAAACTGTAAAAAATGCCGCGACGGTGGTGCGGATAAGAACGACCACTGCGAGCCCTGAGGTAATGCAGGTAGGGTAAATCAACGTTTGCACAAATTGCACTTTTTAGATGACTGTTCAGCGTTGAATCTTTGTTATCTCTATATGTTCGCTGCTGCGTTCATTTCAGTGGCGCCTAAATCCGAGCATTCAATCTCAAAGCCAATTGTTTGGGCCGCAACTAGGCTTCCGAAGGTTGCGGACCCGATTTTTTTTAGTGTGACGATGTCGACGATTTTCCAGTACTGCTGAACGCCGAATGGTGACCTGTGCCACGAAATGTGCAATGTGCGCTACATAAATATTATTGGCGTTATTATGGTTTTCTGTGTTTTAATGCGCCTTTTATCATCTGCACTGCGCTTATTACAGCATGTTGATTACATGCAAGTTGATTATTACAGCATGTTGATTGTACGAGGAATATCGCATCGGAATAAAGTTCAATAAATAAAGTTAAAAAAACCAGGATGGTATAGTTTTTTTGTTAAAATATTGCAAATTAGAATTTGGGAGGCCAAGGAATTCGACCACAAAACACTATAACGCGGGGTCGTATGGAACGCCGCGCCTATCCTCGACAGAACAACCCGGAAACGTCGACTTCATTGGCGATGTTGCCGCCACACAAAAAACCACCAACTGAGGAAAGCGGAATCTGCAGCCAGTGAAACTGTGGTGCAGATCCGTCAAAACAGCGAGGAAATGTACGGGGTGGAGATTCCCAGAAATAGCAATAGCAAGTTTGGAGGGCGGAGAGTCCCGCTCTGACAACACGGTCCTTATTTTGCTGTTTGCATGGGAGATTTTTCTGAAAATTCTAAAACAAGGGCCTGAAGTTTTTCTTGCAGCAGTAACCACGATGCAATCCTCCCCGTCACAACACTCTTCTTGCATAATGTTGAATAGGTATCCAGAGCGTCTTTCATTAATTCGATCGCTAAAGGAACAGCATCCAAGAGCAGCGGTAATAGCCGCTTTTTTTGTTCCTTATTTTCTCCAATAAATTCCGTTCCCCAATTTAATACACACGCTGACGCTTCGCGAAGAAACTGCGCCCGATAGAAGCTGTATTTAGGAGACACGTTCCTACACAAATTCAAAGCAGAAATTATAATTATGGAATTTGCAAACCGTTTTCCTCATCAACTTACCGGACACAGACGATCATATCACGATACAGTTCCCATGCTTCCTGGTACCGCCCCGATTCGCTGCACGTTCGAGCCACATCCCAACCCAGAACGAAGCGCAGCTGCGCTTCCGGCTGCAGAATATCAGCCTTCTCCAGTTCCTTCCACAGTGGAAATTTCTTCACCATAATCGCCTGGCTGTCCCGTGCGTTCCACATGTCAAGGTGATTGGCGAAGTCATTTTCGTGATTTTGTAAAAACTTTTGGAGTTTACGGAGATTAACTTCGTTGACAGCACAACACTGTGCACAGGGCAGCAGCGCGCGGTGATCGCTTGGTATGCGTTCTGTACAGCCTTTTGTGGCGCATTTCAGCGGATTTATGATGGCTTCCTGCAGCATAAAAAATTTTAGAAGATATTAATTTATCTAATCCACCATGCTTAGAGACGCACAAACACTTTACTATGAATAAGTATAATAATGCGCTTACGTATGCATCCGAACATTTACGACACGTGCACTCTACGTCGCCGTACAGTCTATCTGCGTAAATTTTATTCCGTTCTTTCACTGGCCATCGGAAGGGGAAGTCTTTCAGATCGTACAAAAGCACCTGCACAGAAGAACAAAATACCGGCATTCACAGCAGTTGTACAACAAACGATGCTGCTATAGTGCTGCAACATCTTAACTCAAGAAATGCGAAATCATGGCATAAAAGATAACTTTTGGTTGTGAATATTAAAATGCAAGGTCACCACTGCAGATACGAATGCGCACATCAGGATCGAAAAAACATCGGTTTACGAGCTTGATGTACTAGTATTTCATTAAATCGTCTCGTACGTAACAAAGAGAACAGAGACTAAAGTTAAAGATTAGAATGAGCATGACCAGCTTCAGAACAGATTGCCGAACATGGTGAATCGATTAACACAATACTTCTTCCGCTTGAATACAAACAACGCCAAGTTCAGTAAATAAGTACTTTGTCGGTCATGTCAAACTGCCGTTTTACTTACGTCTTGTAGCCCGCTGTAATCCGGAATGTCATCCAGAGCGTGCAGCAAAGCGTCCGTCCATCGAACGAAACCAGGGCATTCTGATCGGAGCATGCTTCGGGCATCGAGCCACTGGGGGCATCCGGAAAAAGACCCATTCCAAAGAAAACAGGACGATCTCCATCGTATTCATAAATAAGATGATTATGTAATTCAATTCTCGTTATGATGTCCGCAATATCGGAATCTGACAGCAGAGAGTGGCCACCGACCGCCGTGGGAAACGCGGCTTCCAGTAAACCTTCAAACAATTTTTCTCTAACCAACTCCAGTTTTCTGTAAAAACAAACGCGATGTTTGAACAAATTCACAAGACAAGCGCAAGCAGTGTTAAACCAACTGTCGTGTTATTGAGTTAACGCTCGGAAAAATCTTGAGAATTTGCTGTGCTGGCATTTGTTTCTCACTTTCGGAGACTGTGTCTTTGGACATATTCTGTAAACACATATGAGTACAGTTACTAACAAAATTAACAATTGGGACAATAACGCGTTGTCTGCAAGCCAAGTTTCTTACAATAATACTAAACATACTGTACTTACAAAAATTTTGTTCATAATCTTGAGAAGAATGATTGAATTGGTGGAAAATATTCGAGAGGTGTTGCCCTGCATGTCGCAAGCTAAGCGCATCATCCTCACCATCCGATTTACATCATGTTGTGATTCTGTTTCCTGTCTGTAGTTTTTTATACGCTTCAACAAGGAACATTCGGATTTGTGCTCTTTCTTCCAGTCAGCGCGCTAACGAAACATCCATAAGGCATAAGGTATAAGAAACAAAACGAGCACGCAGTCTTTCTAAAATAAGTAAACAGTCAAACAAAAAATTAAGACAGAATCTGCCAACTGTTGTTGGTTGGCTGACAGACTCAGCCGCTGACTCATTTTAAAAGCCTGTATTGCTTCGTACCTGGCAATTCTCATTACAGTACCGATACAACCGGCATCCTTGGCAGGACCGCAGTTTTGCAGATTCGCGGAAGCAACACGCACAACGTGTTTCATGATCGTGCCACTCGAATGACCAGACCCACGCTTCGCATGACGTGATTTTCTGCCCAGCAGGAATTAGTCTACCCCTCATCATTGCACTTTGAATTCAACGGTTATCAGTTGATGCGAAACTATCGATCCAGATGGGACTTTCTCCACGCCCAAATGTCACCGCAAATACAAACTTTAAATGTCCAAGATCCTAGGCAATTTATCCTATATGTAACTGGAACGGCACAAAGTTGTAGCCACACGATCAAGCAGTGTAGACAGTGCTTTGGCAGAGAGTGTCTGCGTATTACCGGCAGAGTCTCGTATTCAAGCAGGTCAAACTGTCTGTTGGTGAGTACTTGTGAGTTTTGTTTGTCGCAAATACTGACACATCACGATTATATTATACGGTGTCCACTACAAAAAAAGCATGCGTAATCAATAACTTCAGTACTTTTAGTTTTGCTAATACCAGAAAATGGAGGCACTTCATAAAGGAGACCAGCTAGTCACGCTAACTACATTCCAGCTCAGGGTAGGTCGTGCCTGTTTTAAGAGGGTTTGCTCACCAAAGCGAGCTTAAATTAGGAGCTTTATGAATAGTATTAAATACTAAATACAAATTACAAGGGTTTTAAAAAAATAAAGCTGCAAGCCTGCAGATATTACTATGCAGTGGCTAAGTGCAGAATCGGTCTCGTATTTGCAATCTGATATACTGCGGCCTCGCTTGTGGATTATATAGAAGTACTGGTGATAGGCTGGTAGCGGCAAGAAGTTTCATTGTTTTGATGGTTAAAAATCAGTGAACCCGAGACCTGTTGTTATCTGTACATTACCTGTTGCAAGCAAACACTCAAGCACTTTACAAAATGATGGAAGCAGTTCACGCAATGCCGTCTCGTTTGTCAACAATTTTGAAATACCGCTGTGCGGATAAAATTGAGCTGTAGCAACTTTAGAAAAGGAAATCACGTTTAGTACTAACAGGAAAGCAGTGTTCCAAGCGGTCGGCTTATTATGTCAAGAATTTTAAAAATACGAGTACATTACCAGCGTCATATTATTTTCTGCACAAGTAATGAGGTAGTATGGCGTTCCACAGCCCCACAGCATCGGGCGTTAATTTAATACGCCAGTTTTGGTAGAACGTCTGTTATCAGTTTAACTATACAGTGAAGCTACTCCAAAGTAAGCGAAAACAGCAATACAGTTAACCGCGAAAAAGGCCGTGATGCATTCGCCTGCTCAGTAATTCCAACGACATACAGCCGCTACCACACCCCTTCTAGTAGAGTAGATCATGGGAACGCCTGCAATAAAACCGACACATCGTTTCCGGCTTCAAAGAACCTGTGGATCATACTGAAAGCAAATATTAGAGTAGTTCTTTATTAATAACGACTACCCTTTCGAACCTGGGTGATGTTTGTGCGCTCTTTCACTGATTCCCCGCTTATACCGCCACCAGCCAACTCCGCAAATACGATACTACAGATAATAAAGTGCTTATCAAAGCGGCACATGCCTATTATAGTAATTATATATTAGAAAACTCGAAGCGTCGCAACACCTGGATGTATCCAGAAAACATACAGTACGTTAAAACTTGGCCACCGCTACTAGCATGGGTGTTAAGTCCAGAGAAATCGAACGGTCACAAGAAATCGACGGGGAACAGGGAATTTTCGCGTTAAATTAAAAATTTGGATTATTTTACTTATAGTAATAAAGGGGACAGTGTGGCACAGTAACGTACAATGTAGGACTAAATGGTCGCATAGCCCCATACCCAGCATTCTGTACGCAAGCGGTGCAGTGCACTTGTACGAAACGGATATTTTGAGCTCAGTCGTACAGTGCACTGCGCTGCATTCGTACTGAATGTGGAGATGTTGGGTATGTGACCATTTTGTCCTAAGCTGTACGTGTACGTCGATAATATTCTTTTAATAAAGGGTTGGACAATCAGCTGTTCCTTTGAGCCGCAAAACTTTTATTTTATTGAGCCGCCTCACTGGCTTTGGCCAGCAGGAAGATACCATTTATACCGACTTGCTCACACCTCTGTGACTCCTTCAAAGCTTGCAGTTAGTTAAGCAGGTAGCACAGTAATGCTTCTTCATTCAGGCCTGTTTCACCAACTTCTAGTTTTAGCCAAACCGCAAAGGAGTCCCGCTTTTTTGCTTTGCTTATTTTTCTGTAGGAGTGTTTCTTAATTCTTAATACTTCTGTTTCTTGAACTAAAACGCCAGGTTTAATTTGAATACGTGGCACAACGAACTACGTACAGGAAACTTTTGCTAAACGGTACGTTGATCAACGATTACAGAATCGAAAGGACAATCTCTTCTAAAATCATCTAAAATGAGGTCATAGTACAGTACACTAGCTTTATAAAATGAAAGGAGTGGTACGGTGCTAGTTGTATCATACTCTGTACACGGAAAGTACGATATAAAATAAGCATCGGACCTACGTAAGTACTATTTTTCTAACGCCACATGATTAGGTATTTTGTGCGTATACTCGTACTGTATTTACAGTTAGTACTGTATTTACAGTTAGCTGGTACTGTTACAGTTAGCTGGTACTGGGACCTACGTAAGTACTATTTTTCTAACGCCACATGATTAGGTATTTTGTGCGTATACTCGTACTGTATTTACAGTTAGCTGGTATAAACAACATGCACCAAAACATGTCGCTAACATCTTTCAGGTTTTGGATATTATGCTGCTTCATCCACTGCGCCAAACCAGCCAGCTGCGCCAAGCTACCACAAGGTTTGTCCGAAAAGAGATTATGATTTAACGTTGTCATTTGATTTGAGATTAGAAGACGTCTGGATTGGTTTTGCAAAACTTCCGGCACAACCGTTTACTTCTACGATTAAGCCAACAACTGATTTCCGCAGTTAAGATGGAAGAGTAATTGGCTGCTTATACATTCTGACTGCTAAATGTTGTGCAAGAAACCTTCTGCAGGCTGGAAAAGCCGGATACATTCCTCGATTTTGGAGGCTGATGAATCCCTAACCGGAAATGATATCATTTGGAATGAGGACGCTTCCGGACATATGGCTGCACACGGGAACGAAAGCGGGCAGATGTACAGTTACAGTTACTGGCCGAACACCGGAAAATGTGTTCCTTACTTGATACATCCAGAGTTCGGTAAAGCTGCGTAAAAAATTGAAATACTGTGAACAAGTACATTGTACAAAAGGCTTGGTTACTACTCTAGTATATGAACCGGTGCGGTCTGTTAGTTGTGGGCTTCTCTGATCTTTCGGCTAGGAATGTTAGCTCATCACCGCCACACTTAAGATTGAGTGCTTTCGCTGTTTAGATAGCAGAGCTCGAAGGCTTATTACGGATGCGCTGCGCACGATAGAACGGCGAACCGACAACTGTTTAAATTTCAAAATTCGCTCTGATGAGAAAGAGTACATTGGATTTTTTCCCGGAAGGGGGTACGCTAAAGGCGGCTAAACACTACAGTCAACCTTTAATAATCCATCCAGATATGCCGCGATATCGATTAATTTTGCAGATGTAATTCACAAGTTGGGAGAGTTCCCGGAAGTGTAACACACATTAAACTTGGCAGCCGCTGCATGGCAGAAGGTATTATTTTGCACGAAATTCTCCACGCGCTAGGCTTTTACCACGAACAAAACCGTCCCGATCGGGATGATTACGTGCAAGTGTTTGTCGACCATATTCAGCCCGGAATGTACAACATGAATTACCGTATCTTGCCCAATATGTCGACACACGGGGTGCAGTACGACTTCGACTCCATTCTGCACTATTCCCCTTTCGAATTCGCCATCAGCCGGAAACGGCCAGCAATGTTGCCGCGATTCGGGAAAGACAAGATGATTGGTCAGCGCAGACGGCTGAGTAGCCAGGATGAGACCAAAATCAAGAAAGCGTACGGCTGCATCGATGAAAACTTTGAGAAAGTGCCGCAGACGCCTGCAGTGTGCAGGGACAGTGCAGGTGCAGTGTCCGTTGATGTAGATATTTGATCTGCTAAACATTGTAGCTTCAATAAATTGTACGTTGCAAAACTAAGGGCATCACAAGGACCCGCGTTCTTGCTCAAGCGGATTATTATTCTTACTCAAGCGGATTATAATTGCAGGAAACGAAGCCAGTTCGTTTAGGATTACTGCTACTTCGGATCGCAGTACTACGACAATGAAGAGTAGCACGAGAAAACGTACTACAACCACAGAATCGCCTCCAAACTTAGGTACTCGCACGATTCTCCGTTTTACATACTAAAATCCTTGCAGTTTTTGGTTGTCAGCGCAACACAGTTAAGGAGCCTTTTTGGCGTTGAAATAGCTACTACAGAGAAATTCGTTGTCTCGCTGCCGCTTACGCAAACTGGATCTAAGAACAGGCAAAGAAAAGATCATTAATGTGGACTTCCTGCCTAGGTTATGCGCCAGCCAGTTTACAAAGCAGCGGAAACATTTTTAACGGACCGGTTCGCGGTGTTGGTAAGCGAGAATGTATATGAAAAATTCCTACGGTTGTCTCAAAAATGTCTTTGTTTAGATGTGTCATGCACAGTCTTGTGTACCACCTGGTGGCTGTGTACTATCGCCAACATTGAAAACCCACGGACATGCGGAGGTCAGCCACCTCGTTGCAACTGCAATGAATTTGCTTTCGGCTGAAACACCTTGCCTTGGGAGGAGAATGCGCGTACGGAGCAAACCGATTTTATGCCTTATGGTGCCATTAAGAAGCAACAAAACGGAATTACGTACACTCATTCGCTTGGGGAATCCGTAAACGTAAGCGTAAATACATAGACGTGGGAAACAGTAGATTTTCTTTCTCGGTTTTATTTGATTACATGTAGAGGGTGTTCGTTAATTGTTGTGAGTTACGATTGCGTATGTTTTGCAAACTGATTGTATGTAGAAGTTTCTTTTACAGTTTTATCGTAATACGCAATACGGTAGTGCTTTGCTGTGTGAGTAAGGACGCTAAACAGTTAAATTTAAGATTTCACAGTCTTAATAGTAAGTACTACAGATCTGTACAAATCATGGATTAAATTCAGTACTTGCGACTATGGACACGCGTACCAGCAAGGTTTCTGTTTCTTAAACTGCAACATGTTTCTTGCAGTGCTTATGTAGGCTTGCTGTAAATAGCGAGTATTTTTATTTTAAATAATGTTTGGTAACTAGGCCATTATTGTTTTCGGTCGTAAGATACCACATAAACGTTTAATTAATTTTGTTGGTCGTTTTACACGCTTGCGTTAACTTCATAATAGGAGTGGTCTATAATGGCATGTAACCATTTCTTTAGTATGAAAATCGTATTGTTTGGACGCGAATGCGATTGTTATTGTTATCACCAGTATCTTTAAACACTGCTGTAGAAGAATGTAGCCCGAGAAACTTTTCTCGTTTTTTGTTCGCCATTAACATATCAGTGATCGCCAAAGACATGCTCTTTAGTTTAATAGAATACCTAAACTTACATCGGGAGGCATAGAGTTTCGGTTAAAAATCTCTAAAGTCTTCTACTGTAGTAATAAGATTGTTCCTTTTGGCAGAGGTTCTGGTCAGCAGACTCAGCATCAATCGGTATATTATGTCGGTTGGATGGGGTGGCTTGAATTAAGGTGCCGCAATTGAGGGCGTTCCAGTTTCAGTTTAAGCTACACATAAACGTAAAAGAAACATACTTGTACTTATAACGAAATGCGACAGATTATTCACTGCATCACCTACCGTATCGTTAGCCGGACCATCGTCTAGGGTTTGTCCGGGTTGTCCGATGTTCTGGTCGGTCGATCTTTGTCTCCCTGATTTTTGTGTGGTACGTCCGGAAGCGTAGTGCATGTATCATGAGCGGGCGCACTTACATTACTCGGTCCAAAATTGTTTCGTGCAATTACTCGGAACGTGTAGTTCATACCTCTGCAAAACATTTAAAGGTTTTCCTGAAAATACCCCGCTAAATACTACGCAAATCGATTCTATCATGCAGCATACTGCGAACAACGCTGTTGCTGAAAACCAACTCAAATTATTTTTCTTTTCTACAATGTACAAATTATTCTCTGCTCGTATGAACGATGTTTGACAAAAAGATGCAAATCGGCCAGCCGGTCCGCGGTGCAAAAATTTGAAAATCATGTAAATCAAGTCAAACTGTGCAACAGGAACGCAGCCATTGCGCATCGCATCATCTGCTGGACTGAGTGCGAAAAGAGTAACGCTTGCATGCGCAGCCAGGCTTAAGACGGATCTTGTGCTTCGTGCAGTACTGTACTTGTACATTATACGCACTTCGTCCTGTACATTATTACTGTATTATACAAATGTTAAATCTCAAGGTCGCTACTGCAGCAATCGACGGCTCGCCGCTACGGCGTACACGTGCCAACCATTTCTAAATACACTTACGTGTGACTGGGGGCCACTGATCTCGATAAATCAGCGGGAGAAATATCACCCTGAAGATACTCATATTTCTGGACACCATCTTGAAACTGAAAGGTCGCGGTGTAACTGATGGTGTATGCAACTATCGGATCACGATTATCCCCATTGGGTTCCCACGACACAGTGGCGCTGCGTTCATGACACTGAACTCGAACGTTTACTGGCGGGTTTGGGACATCCCTAACCAGCAGCTCGGCACTAGCTTCCACGTGATCCAAGCGCGTTCGTGCAGTACACGTGTATTTGTTATTGTCCATCTCATTAAGACGGGATATCGTTAGACTGTTGTCGTAATTCTGCACTATTCGTTCGCTGAGTTGGATTGGTTCGCTTCCGTGTGTCCACTCAAGTTTCACTTTCAAACTGGGATCACCGCTAGCCGAGCAGTGAAACGTCACATATTCCCCGACTTCCCGTATTTTGTCTTCGGGAGGCGTCGTTATAGTAGTTCTCCCTTTAATTTCACCGACAGTCGTTTCAGTATGTATACGTAATATACGAGTAAATACAAATTGCAATGGTCAAGCTTGTTACTTTTAATTTCGAGCCAGCCAGAAGCGGACTGGGCTGCATAGCGATTCATCGCTTGGCACGTGTAGTTTCCAGTGTCGGCGATAGTGGTACCATTGATGATTAAATTTCCATCGGTTTCCACCCTATATATACGGAAAACCTCTGAAAAACGCGTACTTCCGTTCAAAACATTTTGTGCGTAATTCATGCCGGGGTGGAGGAAATTCCTCGTCGTATGCATTTCCGTCTAACTTTTATCGCGCGTATAGAAAAGTTTAGATTACTCGAAGATGCACATACGATGAAATTTTATTGTATATCGACAGATCGTCGAGAACCTGTCCATCCTTTATCCATTTGACCATCGGTCGTGGCTTGCCAGAAGCCCGGCATTTAAGGGTGACTTGTACACCTTCAACGGCTTCCGTGAGTGCACCAGGGGGCTCAATTATAGCAGCTTCAAATCCGTCGTCGCTATCTACGAGTGCATGTCTTTTCACCAGATTTGATCTTCCTCTCTGTGCTTTTCATTACAGCCGTGTTTGCAAGGAAGAATGCAAGAAGCATTCTACTTATCTCACGGTGTCTGTATCATTCTGTAGTTTCATAATTGACGCCAATTAATACTTATAGTTATACGTACTTGATGATGGGGAATGCAATTTATAGCTTTCGCTAAAAGCTGATCTAATGCAACATAAATTTCAAATTTCCGCCAACGTATGGCTTACCTGAGGCACCTCCTGACGTCGAGTGCAAGCCGCTGATTATGGAAAGCCTAGAATATAGGCAACAAAAGAAAAATAGCGATACGAGTAATTGCGCCATCTCAAGTACTAAAACAGATGCGGCTTGGATTGAGCTGAACTTCTTTTTTTAGAAGCAATCTTGTATCGGACCGAGACAAAAAATTGCAAAACTGCCACTACGCAGTTTTGTAACTTGAGTAGTTGTTTCGAATATATAGGCCCTGCTGTGGAGCTTAAGCGTTGACATTTAGGAGTACGCTATTTCTGATTTCCGGTAGCGATTGCTCGCTCGGTGGCATGATAAAAAATTTCGATAACCTCCGCAGCAGTCTCAGGATAATTATCTGCTAGCCACGGTCAGAACGGTGCATTTTGGTAGCTGTACGCAAGTTATGCAGCACCGTCTGTGCGTAAACTTATAGTGGTTTCAGCAAGTGCCGGCTGCTTTTTTCAGTTTTATGTTGCATCTCTAGCATAGCACCATGCAGTGATTTGGTTAATTCATGTTTATAACCGTGAGAAAACCCAACGTTTGAACGAGTTGCTTAACCCTCCAACGCTCACTACCCGAAGGGGTGAGTGTTTCTTTGTGAAAACTTGGATTTCCCGATGAAAAAATTCAATTAAGAAAGGGAATCTTTTGTGTGCCTGTACTGACCATAGGTCACCGGCGGTGACCTGGGTGTTTAGCAACACCAATGGGCGTAGACGGTCCTAATCGTGAAAACCTTTAATTCTGTAATAATTCGACGAACAACAACTGACCAAAACAAAAACGTCCATCGTATAGTCCATAAAGAGGACATCAAAACAAGGGTATTGCAGTGGTCAGTAAACTGAGCACTGGTCAGCAAAATTTGAAAAATAAAAGAAACGGTTTTCTGCATGATGTAGTAATTGGTGAACAACTGGACACAACAACTACAGCGCTTTTCAACAATCGTATTCTCAAAATAACCATTACGTTTCTTATAACATATCGCGTAACAATCTTTATGCCACGCCGAGCGGCCTTTACACCATGCGTGCAGGCACTTTTCATGGATGTTGCCCATGTGTTTGCATCGGACATCAGCGAGGACGGTCCATTAGCACGTGCGGTAGTGATGCGCAGAAGCTCACATCAGTAGTTCTGGAAGCAGCAGCCGGCGTCATGAACGCAGCATCGGCCGGAAGTTATTAGTACACCTGGCGCAAGGGTCACTGCTAACTGCCTGCTATATGTTTATTGGTGTCATCCACGGCTACAGGAGACTGACGTATTGTTTTTCTGCACACCTTCACCGCTATAAGGTCCGGTTGGTGTAAACTGCAGTAGATCGCAAGAGGCGCAAGGCCGACTGCAGGATTGTCATGCCGATTAGTGGTAATGCGCTACTGCAGATTACGAAACATGGCTGCCACGCTCTTTCATCTTGAAGGTTTCGTTGTCCAGAAACAACCACCGATTAGTTCGTTTGACGGTCATAGCCGACCGCCCAGGGTGCCGCTCAACTAAAGCGTTTTTGTAAGAGTTTCGGCCAGCAGAACAATGTGGAGCATGTTAGAAGTCCGAGCCCACAAGGCCTTATCGGATTTACATAATCATAACAATGTCGTAATTGCGCCCGCCCGTATTTCAGGACCATACATGCCCAATGGTGTCTGCACGCAACACGAGTTTTCGATGGACTGTGGCCATCCACTGTTTAACTTTCAGAACCGCTGCTTGTTACTACTTAATAAAGCATTAATGATAGTACATTACTGAATTATCTCAGATTAATTGACTCAGTTACTAAGTAGTTAATTAGCAGGGCCTTCGGGAGGTCAGAAAGTTCTAAATTAGCGACTTTCGCGACCTCGTGGTTCTGGAGGGACTTAAGATTCCAGTCAGGTTTGTTTTTTCATTGTTGCTGTAAGGTCTCGTAACGCTAATTACGCTATCAGATACCGATTAATTGTTGTTGTTCATTAACAAAAACATTTTGAAGGCGCTGTTGCGCCCCAACACCAATGGGCGTCAGCGGGTTAAAGAGCGCAGATTGTGCCGAAGCGAGGCGCATGCCAGTGTTGAGGAAGTGCTTTACAAGCACGGCTATCAGTATGTCGCATATTTAGGACTGCGGAAAAAGCGGGCAGCGCAAAATATTGGAATTTATTGTGCTAATCAAGGACAGAAATCTGAGTGGCCATATCAGGTTCAAAGCAATAAAGGTCACCCGCTGCTGTGGATAACTAAAGGTAGGCTTTCATCAGTTTTTAACTGCTTTCGCGCTTTTATATATAGATGTGTCTGCTTGTACTGTCGTTCATAAACAACTGCTTCTGCTTAGTGCAAATTAAATACTCGTACTGAAATTATTTTTAATTATCGTATTCGTTTTACAAATACATAGTTAGCTACTGAGTAGTCATGTAATTTATTGTATTCGTGTAGTAACGCAACAAGCCGTGGACCGTAATAACTTTTCCGTGGAAATGCAGATTGCACGGGATTACTTACAAACCAAGATTCCGACTAAGCATAGTACTACCCCTACTCTGGCCCGCACCCAATCCGGAAAGAAGATCCATCCTGCGCCGCAATTTGTATGCTAATGAGGGCGAAATTAACAGAGTGTCTAGATCCAATGATATATATAGCAGCGTTAAGTTGCGTGTAAAATGGCTGCTGTATTGCAGGATAGAGCGATTCCAAAAAGAGATGAGCTGTCGTTAACGCAGCTGGCCAGCGAACTGAGCGTTATGGGGCATAAGCTAATGGCGGTAAAGTGGCGGCTCAATTCTTTGTAAATTGGTGCTTAAGGACAGGGACAGTTGTATGAACTTGTATCGTATCATAAGGAAATTGTGTGTCCGTGTTATACCGTAGAATGGGTTTATGGATTCGGCCACGCAGGAGTTCCAACAAGCCAAAAACCTACTGGAGGCCGAAATGGCCAAGAAACAGTCCAAGAAACGACAGAAAATGTTGGTACTTTTGCTGAATAACTTAGCATTTCTGCACTTGCAGCTGAACAACATGGACGACGCTAAGCAGTCGGCCGAACGAGTACTCGAAATGGAAGCCGCCAATGTGAAAGCCTTGCTCGCACGCAGTTTAGTAAGTCACGATAATGTTCTTGGCATCGTGAAAATCAGTTTTACGATATTGTGATTTTATGCGAAAGGCTAATTTTCAACTGGACAATTATCACGATTCCCGGCGGGACTTATGCCATCTGGTGGAACTGCAAACTGACCGGAAAGATATTGCCGTGCTCCTGCAAATTATGGAGCTTGCAATTACGTACCGCAATGTCACACGCAGCCAACACAGCAACGATGATCGCAAAGACAACAAGTTCTGGTCAATTCTACCGGATCTGATTAAAGGCATCCGGAAGGACGTCAAAGATGCCGCGCGCGAAGAACCTCATCGCAAAGATGTGGCGCTTCTGTTAACGATGGTTAACATTCTGGATGACGCGGTGAAAGAGGTAGTGCAGATGGTATCCCAGAAATCCATCAAAGGCCTGGCGCAGGTGCTGCTGGAAAGGAGCGACCGGGACGATTTTCTCGTGCCGGTTGGATGGCTGAATGTCGTCCTGCAGGCTACCAACGATATTATTCGCTTTGGAAAGGACTGGCTGTTGGAGCGGGATGCTGTGGGTTTAACATTGAGGATGTTGGGATTGGTTATTGCGGCGAAACGCGCATTTCTCTAACTAAGTTCACTTGTAAACTCGGGAAAACGATTTTTTAACAGCAAACCCATGTCGATAGTAACCTTTGTTGTTTATACGTCTTGCATCCTGTAGATTTATTGAAATAGTTTTGCAAGTTTGTCTGTCCGTGATCATGGAAAGATCAACATTAAGACATGGATACGAGAAAATCAAAACCTGTTAAGAAACGTTTGTACACTTCAGTGATGCCCCATTAGAGAGGTCATCAGCACAGCAAATTTAAAATGACATTGGTAGGAAAACGTTTTGTTCCCAGCTGAATGCAGTCGCCGATCAAAGATGCGCGGTGAACTACGATTTCCTCTATACGATTCTGGATTTGTTAGCTATTTAAACGTTGCAGAAAGGAGATCAGCAGTCATGTAGGCTTGCAGTTTCAACGAGAAGTCACCGGGATTGACGTATCCTTTCGCCGGATCCAGTAAATTCTGTAGGATAAAGTTGCACTAAATGACTTACATCCAGACCCAACTACTAAAATGCAACTCACCTCCATAGAGATATAACTTTCGAATTCCCTATTATCTTCTTCCGGAGAAAACACATGAACTATCGCTGTAAGAGACGTAATTAGATAACTTTTGCGAACTTAGAATCTTTGAATTACAACTTTATTAATGAAAATTTAATTATCTTTTAACCGACGTACATTTCATGATCGGTTTAGCGTCACCTTTCCATGGTAGCAAACGCAGTTCACCAACAACTCTGCAAGTCCAGACAGCCGGTTTCGCCGGCGTATCACACTGGAGGAAATAATCGAGCCACGGAAATCCATCTGTGCGCCGCTTTCGAACCAAGATTCTCCTAAAAAATAATGTTTATTACCAACGGTATAATTTCCCCACCTCGTTACTCTCGTTTCTATTGGCACCCTACCAAGGTAGATTCCTGACTATTATGGGTTCGCTCAAAGTGAAAGTAAACTCCAGCTTCCTGACATCCGGAACTGTATAATTAATGACACCCGTCGAGCGTGAATTATCTGCAAAGGTCACAACAATGTTCAGAATTCTAATTGCGGCTTTCAGCAAATGTTTACCGACTTTCTCGAGCCTCCGTGCGGAACCGCAGCCCCGGCTTGACTGTGGCGTGTTTGTAGTGGAAAATATCCCATAGTTCTGATTCCAGCAACAAACCGGTCTAAACAACATCCCATAGTATTTGTCACCTTTGGGTCTTTGGTCGTGGATTACGCAACTGCTACATTGCGCATTCAGAAGGCTACTGAGATTTATAGTAAAGTTGGTACCTTAGCGGGTCCGTCCAGCAGCTGAGTCTCGGTCAGGAGTGGAAATCGAACTAGATACAATGCCTTCCCCAAGACGTTACGTCGGTTACGCGAGGAAACTTCAATATTCCTTTGCCGGCACGTAGCCGCAGCCCACCTTGTAAAGCCAAAAATTATTGTTAATGGATTGAACGCAGAGTCTTTGTGTGGTTGCCAGATGCCCTTACTTTTCAACCGATGAACAGATGGTAGCTTCGTCGACAGCCAAAGTATCCCGTTGAAGAACGATTTCCAGTGTGTCTTGTCCGATAGCACAGATTCGATCCGACTGCCAAACTGCTTCCGCCGACTCATCGATCAGACGCAAACACTCGTCTTTAATACACAATGCCAGCTCTGAACATGTACAATGCACCGCCTATAAAAGACAAACCGTTAGACACTGCGCAATGGATTCGGTCAAACCAATTCTTTCACATATGGTCATGGGCATAACAACACGTACGTATCATACAAACAACCCAACAACCATAATAAAGGTAACAACCGCGCAAGCATTCCGGAAGCGGAAGAAGAAGGCTAAGCAGCAAACGAGAAGACTTACCTTGTCCAGAACTTCGAGGCAGTTATCCGTGTTAAGGTTACTGAGGATAAATTGAGTGCACTGGGCAACCAGCAATAATATATCGTATTTGGCAGCACAGCTCATGGTTTCAAAGACGTTGTCCCGGTTGAGATTCTTCACGGCGCCAGTACAGATATAACTACCGCACAAAGCGCGTTGCATATATTTAGTATGTTGCCGTATCTTTGCGGGAAGACAGTGATAAATAAATGTTTTACGATGTATCCTAGACCAATTGTTACCTGAGCATATTAGCGAAGGCATCTGGTAGAATATCTGGAATGTCCATTATGCTGGAAGATGTGCACGTGTCGGGCCCGCTTCCGTAGAACAGGGTGTGGAAAAAATGGCTGCGGATACTTCTGATAAATCTGCGTAACGTAACAGCTATTATCTTATGAAGGAAAACATTCATCCATTAGGCATAAACAACTTGTCTTAGAAAAGCACCTGAACATTGTGGCGCATAAATCTGGAAAAAAACTGGAAATATGGATAGAAGCCGTGCACTCTGCCGGAAGGGAGCCGTAAAATATGTCGTGAAATACCTCATTGCGAGCGCTTAGACTGATCCTACAACAGCAAGGTTACAACGCATGTCCCTTAATCCCGACAGAAGTACTCGTAGAATGATACAGTGCTTACTTGTCTGCTAGAAATATCTGGGTCTTGCCATAATCCTTCCCGACAATAAACTGCACACAACTCATTCCTCTGTCGACGAACAGGTGCTTTATGCCGCTGATTATTCTGGAAAGTACACGGTGATGTTGGATGTCTTCCAATACGCTTCCTTTTGCGAACGTGGCTGCCACTTCGTGGATGGATTGATTTTGCCGTAAAGCACAGGAAAATTGTTCTTCCATTTCAGTAAAATCCACCAAACGAATACTGTTGTTACCGTTATTGAATGAATCACATGATTTTTCCATCTTAACGATAGCAGGATTAGCAGCTACTATGTGCTAACTGGATCGCAGAGAGACAAAGGGTTGCGGAAATTCAGCTTACTGTTCCAGTACTAGATAAAATTATCCATTCGAAAATATAAGAGTGCGCAAACAAATATTGTTGAATTATGTCATTTCGAAGGTGCACAACATCTGCCAAGCAAACCAAAGCAAAATTTTCAAAACGGGCCGAAACCGGATATGGCGAAGGAAAAGGTGTGTGAAGCGAGAAGCGGCTCACGTACAGCGACAAAATCTTTCAAAGGATTTCAACGTATTGCGCCGTGGATCTAATCTAACGACGCGGATCTAACGACGTAGCCGGGGTTCGGCGCCTTTTTCAGCCGTTTCTCGGTTTCCCTCGGATTGCGCCCTGCTTAGAGGTGATTAGAGCTTCTTGCGCCCATGCATTGACTTTAAAGGTATGTAATAGTTTTGTGTGCCAGGAATTGTTCTGTGTCTAACGGACATACTCGAAATCTGAATGGATAGTGAAGAGGCACTGTTTTTGAAGATTTTCGCAACAAGATGTTTGGCTTATTCTTGTAGGAAATGCTTGACTGCGGCATTTGTCAATGTTTGACAACGAAACAATGTTTTAGGTTTACCTATATAATTGCCTCTTGTCGATACAACAGAACCCGTTAGTACTGCTTTCTCTGATTTTGTTATAACATCGATAACTTTTTAAGTTTCCAAAAAAGGTTGGGGAAACTGGTTTTCGGTTAGCACATACCGTGAACATAACGATCACGGTTGCTAATTTTTTACATTTCCGGGTTATAGAGCGCAGCAGAAGATCACTTCTGCACAGAGTCTACTAAAAAACGAAAATTGTACTGTATATCGAACAAGTTATGCGAGGATCAGAATGTACTGTTTGATAAAACAAAGAAAGGCATCTGCAGTGAAATACACAGCGAGTATCTCACTGCCCATGGGCCTATCTGCATTGTTTCACAACAGATGCCCACTGTTTGTTATTTTGTGCTTCACAGATGCACATTTATTCGGGTTCAATCCCAACAGGCAGGTCAGCAATCAAATAGACCTGCAATTTCAACGAGAAATCACTCGGATTAACATATCCGTTTGCCGTATCCAGTAGTTCCTGTAAGACAAAAAGTATTACTTAGACAAAAAAGCATGTAACCGACCAAAACGCCCGGACAACTAAAGGAGTCCGCGAGACATTCTGATCTCTATATTCAGTCCAAAACAGCATTCGCCCTAACCTCCATATAAACAAATGTCCTATATCCCCAGTCATCTTCTTTCGTGCAGAACATATGAGATATCGCTAAAATATAGAATCGTTTTTTGTCGCTGGTCCTGTTAACCATTCGAACTTTGAAGCCAACCTACGTCTCCTAATCGGCTCAGTTTCCGGTTTCCATGGCAGCAGACCAAGTCCTCCAGCGACCTGACACGTCCAATCCGTTTTTGAAGTGGCTTCGCAGTAAAGGTAAAAGCCGAAACGAGCCAACCCATCTCTCATGGCGTTCCTAACCATGATCCTCCTACAAAAACAATGCAAATTCACCAACGTCGTTTTTCTTCTATCTCGTCGTTCGTTGGCTGTCCTTTGTCGGTCCACTCACCAGGGCACGCCCCTGACTCTGATAGGAGGGCTGAACGTAAATGTTTCAGTCAACTGCCTCAAATCAGGAACCGTATAATTTATGACCCCCTCTGCGCGTGAATCATCTGGAATAGTTCACAACAGTGTCTAAAAACATAACTCCGATTTGTAAGCACTAAGCGTATGAACATGCTAACTTTGTCGGGCGTCCATGCGGAACGGCAGATCCGGTTTAACTGCAGCGTGCTTGTGGTGGAAGATGTCCCATAGCTCCGATTTTAACAGCAAACCGGTCTGAACAAAACAGTTAGAAGTTAGTTTCCGCAATAAGCACTCACACCTACGTACTGCCCCTTTTACGCTATCATATTTTGACGTTTTCTTCTGTTGCTACCTTAGCCGGTCCATCCAACAGCTGAGCATCGGTTAAGAGCGGAAATCGGACAAGGTGCAATGCTGCGCCCAGCATCACTCGCTGATTAGTGCCGGATGGATCCACGGCCGCGCGGCTGCAGGCCTCTTTTGCCCATCTGCAATGAAATCAAGGCACGGTATTCTGAAAATAATGATGTCCAGCACGGCAGAACAAAAGCTACTGATAGAAACAAAAACTGCCCACTTCTTAGCCGCCAAATAAATGATGTGCTCTTCATTGCACAACGTGTCTCGCTGCAGAATTAACTGCAGAATATCCGCTCCTACCGTAGTGAAGACATCCGACTGCAGCACATCCACACTGGTCGCATCCACCACGGAAAGACACCCTTCCACAATATCCGGAGTGTTCCAGTTCAGCGCCTAACAGAGGAAAGGAAAGCAAGATACGTAGTTGTTTAGCGCAGTAGCACAAACATCTGTTCAACCTGTTGCAAGTTGTCTAGACAGTTGCTGACGCTTTTCCTGCTATCGTCGGTGATAAATTTGGCGCACATGCGAATCAAGCCTGGTAGGTCGTATTTGTCGGCGCACGCCAGTGTTCGAAAGGCATGTTCCGCGTTGAGAATCACCTGCGCATCGGTGTAGATGTAACTAGAGAAATCATCACACTTTTTTTGCTGATTTAGTGGCCAGATTCTAGTTAAACTCTCCCATAAGGCAGGAGTAGATGAAGCTGTTCTTGTTTTCTCACCTTAGCATACTAGCAAAAGCTTGTGCATCGGTGTCGGAAATGACAATGGCTTCTTGACATTTTTCTGGTAAGCTTCCATGAAACATCGTACGGAATACGTCGCTCCGGATGCTTAAAATGTTTCTGCAAAGAAACTCACCGGTACTTGGAAAGCAGCATATGAACATGTACTGACCATGAGGACTGCAGAGGTTGCCTTTGCTGACCTATGTGCTGAAAGAATTTTCACATCTCCAGAATCATTGGAGACAGCGAACTTCACATCACTCATGTCTCCGCTGACCAACATGCGCGACAAATAGTAAGCAATCTCGGAGCCGGCAATCTGCTTTTCTGGATCTGCAGAGTGGCTGGAAGATATTGGAATGCGCGACGACATGCTTGGAGAAACGTGTAGTGGCAATCGCCCACTCCCAGACAACATACAACTCTATTTAGCATGCAAAACTCCAAGTTTTTCACAGAATGCACACGGCACATTCAAGACAATCTTATGCACGATATGACTGACCAGCCTCGCGACATTCCACAGCCGCAATCAGTTAAGTACTGTATACGATGTATCTCATTGTCAGTCTTCCGTATGTCCATGCGTAAAATGCAAAACGCTATTCACTGACCCGCCGAAGGTATCGATGATCGATACTTTTCAACTGCGCAACAAAGCTAAATGTGCAAAATACAAAGCGGAGAGAAACAGGATACGATTATTGTGACGCCGTTTTATATGCGCTCCTTTTCATTTGTCTAACTGGTTGCCGACTGTCACTACACACGGTATTTGATAAAACCACACACTCAAAATCTTCAGTGGATCGCCATATAAGTGCTCGGCAGAGTATTGAGTCCAGACTACTCGGCACCGGGAGTTTATTCGATTCCGAATTGTTTTGTAAAAAATCGTATTGATCATTTGTAGAGCTGACAAGTCTAGTTCACGAAAAAAATGATAACAGTTACTTATAACAGCACCTATGGCACGGTTAGTACACGCTAAATTCTTCCGGGTGTTTTTTGGACTTGTATTCGCACTATCCCACCGTATCCTGGATGTGTTCTATACATTTTCTACGTTGATTTGAATGACTGCTGTATGGCCCGTATCCCACCGGATCTCTGCAGTGGACCAGTGTCCTTTATGCATCCCGAATGCTTTGCACTAAGAAAACCTAAGAAAATTATCCTGATACTTGAAAGGTTCTCGACGGATACTTCTACAGTAAGGATACGTACAGTAGAATATACCGTGGGATATTGTGGCTTTCGAAGGTGATACGCATGGAAACATCACTTAAAGTTACTGTAATCTTCTGCACGTATTGCGATTGTTGTTAATGTGGTCGTTCTTTTTATTAGCATAATTAGTGCACCCCACAGTATCCCTTGTGTATCTTCCATGAATCCAGTTAATTTTCTTATGTTTCTTATTGGGATAGAAGTACCCGTAAAAGATACTTGATTGGTTTGGATACGTGATTAGAGATAAGTTTGGATACGTGATTGGAGTGGCAATCAGCCTTTACCACGATTATGCGGCTGTTGGGATGAAAGTTGGCACGACCAGCAACGGCGCGGTCGTGGACGCTGTTAACTGACTTAACGCAATTACAGGTGGCTCCGATTGGGATGACACAGGTTCATCCCAAGCGGTCAAACGCAACAACGTAATTTTAGGCATGTTTAAGGGCAAAGGCAATCAAGAAGCGGACTTAACGGAGCAAGGTTTAGGGCAAGAGATCAGGACAAGATTTATCAAGTTGATACAAGCTGAGTACATGACCGAATTCTTGAAATTCATGAGAAGGAGAACTAGCCAGTAAAGTGAACAAAAATCATAACGCGATGAAATGATGAATAATAACTGAGTGGTCTTATCGGTTGTACAAAATTACAAATACTATCGCTACAATACTATCTCAATAAATGCGATCATTTCTAGAGCTTCATTTAGAATGAAAATTAGAATACATGAATGAACGTCAATGTATGACAGCTTGTAATTCGAAGCAACCGAAAAACATATGACAACCAATCGAAACAGAGAATGTTCCTTCAGTTATTTTATTATACACATGAATTGAGCATGAGAATCAGAAAAAATGCACCAAGTTCCCAACTGCGAGCGAAACGATCCATGTACTGCACCAGTTCAACTAATAACGGCGAATAAAAAATTTAACGAACAAAAATGTAGATTCTGTATGAAAGGAGAAACTGCAATATGGCCACTGGTTTCCAAGGTGGCACACTTGTCCGAGGAACGTCATGACACATCTACAGCTGCGTGCACCTGCCCAGCGCCTGACTAATCGTGTCGATGGCATGGCGCACCTGCAGGAAGACGGCACGGTAATTGTCTATCTGCTCGTGGAGCACCTCCTGTTTGCTGCGGCGGCCTTCGCAAATGTCCTTGAGAGAGGCTTCCAACTGTGCGCGCAGATGCGGCCGGGACATGCTGTGGTTGATGGCGTCGAAGCCCTCCACCAATCTGTCAAAAATGTAAGTCGAACACTGCAATTCGCTATTGTAATTCGGTAAGCACATTCGATCGATTCGAACAATATTAATTTTGAGATTAAAAAACGTTCAAGCATTTAAAAAATACCTTTATTCACGAGAGTTTCTTGATATACTGTATTGTACTTTAATGAGCAATAACCAAGCCAGTTAACAAAAGGAGCAAGCGAATCTTAACACTGCAAAAAACAATTTTCCTTTTACGGCGTTCAAAGGTAAATTATTAAAAACAGGTTGATAAAGAAGATGCGAAATGGCCAATCGTTTACTTAGGCGCATAGCAATTTAATTAATACATTCATATCTAAAATTTCAAACTTATTAAAGACAAAAACCTATTACTCTTAAGAAGACTCATTACAAAGATTTTTTTACCCATAAGGATTTCTGAACAAATTGTTTTCAATTGGAAAATTTTTATGGGCTCTATAAAAAAGATAATTTAAAGTCAATTTCTTCCACAGATTATGAAAACGAACATTTATTCATGAGATTTTTTTAAAGGAAGGTCAAAAACAGCCGCGTTAATACAGGTAAAAAAAGCAAAACTTCCGCTCAATGTCGACCTACCCCATTCCGACACGGCCCGGCATGAAGCGGCGCTCGGGCGTCATCCCGGCGTACAGCCGCTCCTGGATGGTCTCGATGTGCTCGGCGTGCGTGGCGTCCGTGCCGATGCCGTACTTCTCCATCAGCGCAATGAGATCCGCCTCGCTCAGCAGCGCCGGCGCCGATGTCTGCCCGCTGACCATCTCGATTTTGGAGGGAATGAACTTGTGGCCCACGGGCAGTACCGGCAGCTTCTTGGACTCCCATTTGTCGTACGGGTACACCTCCAAATACCCGCGATCCGTGACCACCAGACCCTCCGCGTGAAAGCGCTCGGCGGCGATGTCGATGTGGATACTGGTCTCCTGGCCTTTAGCGTCTTCCGAGCACGTGGCCAGGAAATGCCGGGTAATCAGCTCGTAGATACGCCACTCATTACCTGCGTAATTAACAAATGAGAACCAATCATGAAAATTCTCCAATAAAGACAAACATAAAGCAATTATTATGTTAAAGAAACTGTCCTCAAATTATAAAGTAAATCTGATATAATTTTACTATTCAAGAAACGAGAAAAAATCCTTGCAGTTGGCGCTAGTTCAGATTATTCTTCGTGGTTCAAATTATGTATCTTTTACAGGAAAGTTTTAAAAGGGAGTTGATCATAATTCTTTTTTTTTTGACAACAAGGCGTTTAACACATTTGCCCATTATAATTCTCTGAGTATAAAAAACCGAAAGTTACGCAAACAAACGAGCAAATGTGACAAATCAGTTCGCTGTAATAAAAACATTATTCATGCCAAATATCTAAATGAAGTATGGACGGACGGTGCACGTTATTACAGTAATTTAAATTATTAAACAAAGGGAAGCAAGGCAATGTGAAATAATTTCTTATCAATTTTGAGAATTTTTACACTTTTTTGGTGTGATTTTACGAGTAGGTAACCCCTTTTAGGAACAAAATTCAGGACAAGATCATTCAGTTGTACAGCCGCATACCTTGGAGGTTGGTAGCATGCTTGATAGGGTGGATGGGCGGATGCGCCTGGTCGGACTTGCTGCCACGCCGAGGGTTCGGGCCCTTGTGGAGGACCTGTTGCGCGAAGGCGCCCCAGCGCTGATCCCCCGTCTGGGCCTGCAGCAGCTCGGGGAGGTTGAAGTGGGCGGGGAAGATGTTGGTCTCGGTGCGGGGGTAGCTGATGAAGCCCTGGCTGTACAGCTTCTCCGCGATCTTCATCGTCTGCTTGGCGTTGATCTTCAGGATGCGCGAGGCTAGCTTCTCCAGCTGCACGGTGTCGAGGGGCAGCGGCCGCCATTTATTGCGCGGTTTCTGTGTCACACTGACCACGGTGGCCTGCGGCGACTCCTGGCACACGTCCAGCAGTATCTGACAGGCTAATTCGTCGAATAAACGGACACGCTGCCAGATGAACTCCACCTTCATCTTTTCCGGCTTTGTGAAGTTGTGCAGGACGCGGATACGCCAGAAATCCTCCCGAATAAACCGCTGAATCTACTTGAAAACAATAAACAGTATATTCAGCAAAAGAATCTGTAATTATTCAATTATTTTGGAAAATAACTGAATATAATTTATAATAAAATATAATAACAAACAAACATTATTGTGGTATTCGTCAAACAGTAATTGTATACACAAAATTACTGCCTGTATATTATTTTTGACGGTCGTGGTAGCAGATTCAAAAGTCTGGCGAGAAGCAAGCCATCAGCGAGCGCCGCACCATGTTCATACTTTTCAATTTTTCAGGAAAATGTTTCAATTGGCTTAATTAAAAAAAAGGTTGTCTGGTCTTCTAGTTCTTTTAAGATTTTCCATCAATTTTTTTTTAATTTAATGCAACCTTTTTTGAATGACAATTACATAGACTTTAGATACCGAAGTAAATTATAATATGAAATCCTAATCAAAACTAACTGCTGATATTGCTTACCTCTTTATAGCGCTCGACCACGAATCCCAGCGTGGGGAACTGGCAACTGCCGTAACTCAGCAGCTTCTTCTCGCCAAGGAAGGCGCCGAAGCGGTCGCGAAAGCGCATGGTCAGGATGCGCGTGAAGGCCGCTCCGATGCGCAGGTCCAGCTCACTGCGGCACTCCACCGCCCGTGAGATGCGCTCGTCCGGACGCTGCAGGTTGCGCATGGCCTGGTTGCAGGCGTGGCTGGTGATCTCTGAGAAGCGCGCACGCCACACATCCAAATGGCGATTTACCTGCAACGACAGCAGCACCGGAGAAGCTAGCACAATATTTTCAGAGCCCTTTACAAATACAAAGATGCCTACTCGTTGATATTTTCCAGTTTTTTCCAAATATTTTTTATCTGTTTTTACCAAAATTATTCACATAATTTGAAATAATTTTCATAATAAGTTTTCATTATTAAATAACTTAATTAAAATTAAATTAGTAATTAATTAAAATTCAATTAATTTAAATAAAATAATTTCACGGAATAATTTTGTATTAATTAATTTTTTATTAATTAATTTCATAATAATTTTCATAATTTTTTGATATGTTTTCTCTTTTTTGTAATTAATTTTTTAATATTATTATTAATAAAATTATTTTGTAAAATTCTAACAATATTATTATTACATAATAATCAATCCAATTTTTTATTTATTTTTAAAATAATAAAATACTATTTTTTAAATAATAGAACAGTTTTAAATTATTCAGAAATCCGAAGCGATTAGCAGGCGAAGTCCCCTTACTCCCTTCACACCACTACCAGAATTCCAGAAAGTGAGTACTTGGTCTGCTACGACAAGCGTCATTCTGGTACGCAGAGAAGGTACTACCGCACTACGCTGTTTAAGTAATATACTGTAAGCCAATAGACTCACCCGGAGGCAGACACCGATAATTTCAAACCCGATATTCTCCCCTTCACGATCGCAATCCGTCCAGATGACGAGCTTCTGGCAGGAGCGAGCTTCGCGCTCCAGGGTGTGCTGGATGCTCTTGTAGTTCTGCGGGCAGTTGTGCTGAACGGGCGCATCGAACAGCTGGACGATGTCGACATTCTGCCAGTTGGTGTAGGGCGCGGGGAAGTCGAGACTCAACAGGTGCCCGCTCACCGACGTCATCACCATCTGGCAGGCCTGCCCGAAGGCATCGTAACGAAACTCGTAGATCTTGTTAAATTTGGACAAACCTTCGCGTCGATTACTGGCGCCCCTGGAGAGGATGCTGGCGATGTTCTTAGCAGCGTCGTTCTTCTCTGCCACGTTCAGGACCCGCATCTCTGATTACGTAGTTCACTGCTCCACTGCTTTAATAAATGAAAATTCCTATCATGTGCGCTGAATGCGCTGATCCTCTTTAAAGCATATCGTAAACCCTCAGGAACAAGGAAAGAAAATAGCGTATTACAATACCCAAGCCATAACAGATAATTACTAGAGTAGACTACCATTAATCTGTAAGAGGTAGGAGTCTGAAAGAGTGAAAGACCAGAGAAAATTGGAAACGTTTTGGTTTGAATGAACGTGCGCGACTTCGACTGGCTGTTTGCAAGCGTGACCACACTGCCGCACCGGGCGGTTACAACAGCGTCACGCGCCGGAAGTCTTTTTACGTACGGTGATTTATTGCTCACTTGTCAGAATGTTTTAAAATACGAGTCCTGATCTATTGACCATCAGGATACTAGAAATTAAATATTTATTCCAGAGACAAGTTTATGAACACTGAGCTAATTTATCCAGGAATCCGTGTGCTGAGAAACTTCTAAGATATTTAGTTATTTTTGGCAGTAGCACTCGATAGTGAATAAACACCGTGACAAGCACAATGCAGTATTAGCGACTTTATGTACTTACAAGTCTTTAATACAGTACTTCTTTGTACTCTACAATTTTAACCAGTAATTCTATCGAGACTGTCATAAAAAGATGCAGCCTATAATTTTCTTTGCACTTCGGAAGTTTTACAGGCTGGCGCTGCTAAACAATGTTGGCAAATCAACTCAGCAAGAGGAAAATGTAATTCTGGATGGGTGCGTAGGACTTCAAATTTTGCCCGCTCCGAGAGCCAGTTGTATTTGATATTAAATTTGCAATGATTGTAAATTCAGAACAAAAATCAAGTAAATTGTCCCGACAAGTTTGCCTATTTGCATCTGTAGCTAGTGACCAGTGCCTTTAGGTTTATTGCTCGTCCGCCAGTTAAAACAACCGAAAATCGCATCACGCAGATCCTTTACGCTTATTAGCAGCATGAAAGCATCCATGGCAGCTTCCGTCTCGACCATCCAGTGTGCATACTGGTAAAATTCATCCGGGAAAGTAAGACCTCCAAAATCAGCCGCTAAATACATAATTAATGACGGTACCCAGCACACCAGTACGGTAATGGTTAGCAACGTTAAAACAATAAAAGCTGTACTTCAGTATGGTTCTCGATTTTGAATGAGCGCATTCCGTGGGTAATAATGCCGTCAGCACGGTCCGCACCCACAGGGCGTGAACGGCGCCATCTGGTTGTCTTCCACAACAGATGGGGATACGCCCCGATAATGATCACAACCGGCACAGCAAACAAAGCAACATCGAGAAATTTTGCATATGTTCGTAACACCGGTGCCTCGAGATTCCAGTTGCATCCATAGAGTTCTCCGGGTTGACGATACCAGTACGCATGCACGATATTCTGTGGCAAGCAGATCAGGTGGACACTTATCCACATTCCGACGCACAGTGCGACGGCTAAATATGGGGAGTGATGCAGACGGTAGTAGTGGGGAAAGGTCACCGCCACGATCCGATTGCAGGTGATCAGAACTTGCGAGCAGGCCATACATGTCGGAATAACACCACTCGCATAAAGGACAGCGTCGCACACAGTATTGCCGTCCCACCAGTTCGGTTTCATCCAAGTAATTACGTCGTAAAATTCGATAAGAATTAGATACAAAATGTTACAGCCTAGCAAATTGATAATGTAGATGTTGAAGGAAGTGTGGTGCGTGGTTTTGACAATTAGCAAGCTGCACGCAAGTATGTTCAGAGAAAACGTACTGCTGCTTGTAAACACTTTGAAAGCAGCAACAAAGTTCCATGGATGCCGGTCAAATTGCGGTTATAAGTAGCGATCGTTGCGTTAGTCAAACTTACAGTGTTATTCACAAATTCCAACATTGTGAGCCGAACGCTGAAAAACGCTTTATAACTACTTACGATTAGTACTTAGTTAGTAAAGAAAACACGGTAAGTTGTGGAATGTTCTTCACATTACTTGCAAGCTGAGCAGAATCGTTGCAATGCGCCACACCGTACCACGATGTGCTACGAATATTTTTCTTTTGAGGTTATTACTCTGATTTGACTTCGATTAAGTTTCTGTTTCTTTTCAATAGTAACGTACCTATGTTGACAACTCGCCAGATTGCCACCTGGTAGCGGTTTTTGCACCTCATAACAAGTCCAATGCATAAATAACTGGTGCATGCTGAAAGCTGTAAAAACACTTTCTGGGTGATTTTTCGCTAGAATGCTCATGTTTCCGGTACAGAGTGTTACATGATGACAAATTACTAGACCGTTTCGGCATGAACGTCATTCCATCAACGTTCACTGTGTTTTTGGCTGCTTATCCTTTAAAGCGTACTAGCACTGACGGCTCCCATCCGATCAGTACTCGAATCAATAACCGCCACCAGTACCGTTGCATTGATAAAGTGGCCTCCGCCATCAAGCAGCACAGGAGTAATGCTGCAGAAACGACGCACGACATTGGGGGAAATTAAGCTGGACACAGCTGAACCTGTTAATTTACAGTCTCTTCCGGTCATTCGTTCCTGATTTAGTGTTGGCATAAGTGCTGCACTATTGATCGACTTCCAGTCTGTCTAGACAATCAACTTGCTCCCCCAATCTGTCAACAATACAGAGTATGACAAATTAGCTATGGAAACCGGAAATCGTTTTGAAACTGATGGACGTTGCAGAACTGCACGATGCTCTTTGGTAGACAACAAACTACTTCTACAGATACAAAATTAAATTTTTTTAACATTGTACGAACATATTTTATACATGTAAAACAAAAACACAGCGAAGCTGCCAAGAAAAACAACATCGGACACTCATCATTCCCGACCAGTCAATCTAAAGCTAAAAAAACGTCCTCGTTGTCTCTCATGTCATTAAAAGTTCCGAGGATAGACTTTCAATGACCATACATGGTATATAACTAACGGAAGCTGTGTGTTGCTGCTTATTATGATCAAGACTAGTAAACTCACAAGCAATGTCGTGGCCCTTTAAGGAGTTAAAACCCAGCCATGTCTGCTGCACATTTCCCGGTATGCACTCCCGCACGGAAAGCGGTGTCGTTAGCAAAAGTTCAAAGGGAATACGGAAATGGGAAGTAGCTGAGTGAATTTAGGCAAAAAAATGTTTGTATTGGTAAAAGAACCCGTGAAAACCGATGCCGCAAAACTCAAGCGGAAGAAACGTCATCACCCTTTTTTATGATCATGAACAATTAAAAAATGTCACGAAACCTGCGAGTTTTATCTCCATGAAGCAGATATTTATTATTTAGGCAAAAAGGTTCAATCTGAAGGGTATTCCATGGACTTTTGTTGCTGATTTCTAGGTGCTACCAGCATTAGTACTTTTTCGCTGAATACACTTGCTTGCAAGCGGTATCTGGCTGCAATTGCAGCCGTTAGTTTTATGTCCGTTAGTTTTACCGTTAGTTTTACCGCCGTTAGTTTTATGTCCGACGGCTGATTTTTGAGATGTCAGTCGTCTGGTCCGGTCCGGATAGTCTTTTGCAGTACGCACACTGGATGTTTGAAACAGAAGGTGCCATGGATGCCTGCTGCAGTAGGCAAACACCGAGGAAAGCTTTTGAAATAGCACAGAATAGGTTGCCTACTCTTGGATTCCCTCCTTCTTTTATTAAGCGTAAAGGATCTGCGCGGTGCGATTTCGAATTGTTTCAGTGTGCATATAAGAAGGATCAGTCTAATGTTTCTCGCCGCCGACGTTAATCTGCCACAACGGGTTTACTCACCTAATGAGAGTGATTGAATAACTAACTGTACTATACATTACCGTTACAATATTATTTATTTTGCGTTCGTATAAATGTTTAGAATGGTTTGAGGGCAACCTCTCCCATGGATTACGCTCATTCAAAGAAACAACACAGCGTTTATCGTTTTGACGAGTATTTTGTTGGTTCACTGGGCACCGCCAGGCTTATCGGCATCTTTTCTAGTACCTTGTATATATGTATTGTACGTGTTAAAGTACCATTTAATTTTGTAATCAGAGTATGACCTCGAGCTCTGGCGATACAGCAAATGCCGCGTCGAGGATTTTCATGTATGATGCAGATCTCTAAGCATCTTAGTTCCGCTGCTGCGGAATCAGTCGTTTAGATTTCGAAACACAAATTAGAAGAACATGACAATGTCATGATCGACATTAGAAGGAAGAAACAAATATGTACATACATACTGATGGATGCGGGCTATTTGTTTCCACTTAATGAATGCTAATGTTACTTGCCATAAGGCTAACTGTGAATTGCTTACAATCCATAACGTTTCTTATGAAAGCACACAACTTAATCATCTAGACTTTATTTTGTAAGTTCTTTGTTCTGTTTAATGATACTCGCACTGTATCTTCCCAGTGACTGCGTTGGCTGGTTGTTTAGAACACCGGAACATGCAGGTGTGCGGATGCTCAACAGGAGGCAGGCAACGGCCGCATCTCACAGTGGTGCAAGTTGGTTGGGCGGAAACAGTAATAAGAATGCTCACACACTGCATAAAACTACAAAATACTTTTCAGGAACTATGCACTCTTGCAAGCTGGGAATGGGACGGAATTCGCAACATTGCAAATTGCGGAATATACAGTAGTAATTTAATATAGGTGTGATGGCAAACTTTAATTGTGGCAACACCCATTATAGCAAGTTATAATGAATCCCCATTAAGCGTGAGAACTGGTTGGGGCAGGTACGTTAGCGTCTCCCAGCTGACGAGAGTCTATAGGTTCCATTTCTTTCCGCCATCTAAAACAATTCAAAATTGCTTCGCGAAGATCCTTAACACTTATTAGCAGCATGAGGGCATCCATGGCCGCCTCCGTCTCGAACATCCAGTGGGCATATTGGTAGAGTTCATCCGAGAAAAAAACACCTCCAAAATCAGTTGCTAAATACGAACATAACGGCGGTACCCAGCAAACCAACACGGTAATCGTTAAAATTGTCAAAACTACAAAAGCGGTATTGTTTTCCTTTCTGAACGAGTGTACTGCATAGGTGGCGCTGGCGTCAATATGGCCCGCACCAACAGGTCGTGAGCGGCGCCATTTGGTCGTTTTCCACAACAGGTACGGATACGCCCCTATGACGATCCCAACAGGGAAAGCAAATAAAGCGACATCGAGAAACTTTGAATA